TTGGCCTGCCCGGTGCGCAGGGACAGGGATGGGAATGGGACAGTCTCTGCTCTGAGCCCTAACAGCACAGTGCACCCAGTGAGCAACTGTCCCCCTGCTGGGATGGTCCTGGGCTCGGACCAAGGGGAAAGGCAGGAAGGGCTCTTGTTACCTTATCCCAAGGGAAAGAGGGAAGTTCCACAGGCTCTGGTTTTAGTGCACATGGCAGCACTGCTGTGTCATTAATGTTTTGTTTTGGTTTGGTTTCTGCTTCCTAGACTTTAGAAACATAGGAGAAAAAAGTGAGAGTAACTCATAATGGATTAAATGGTACTTTCAAGTACATTTTAACTATTTACAAGTTATTTGAATATGTTCTATTGTCATAAAACAAACCATGGGAGGGTTTTGCCCCACTTCCCCATCTGTATGAATCACTGTGAGGAGCACCACTGTACCAGATCCCACAGTGATAGTCGGCCTCGTCCTGAGGCTGCAGCCCAGAGATGAGCAGGAGCCCTGTGTTGGCCGAGCTGTATGTGGATCCAGAAAAGTGGCTGAGGACCCCAGAGCCCTGGTGCTTCTCAGAGTCTGATTTAAACTGCAGTAGATATTGGAGAGGGCTCCCTGGTTTCTGTTAGTACCAGTTTGTGTAGTAGTTGTCAACACTGAAGCCACTGCTCATGGTGCAGGTGAGTCTGGCTGTTTCTCCCTGAGATGCAGAGAGGGAGGGCGGCTGAGTCAGCACAGGGTATGAGAGGGAACCTGGGAAGTACATACTTTTCAGTGATGAGACAAAAATCAGGGGAGATTTCTTAGCAGATGGAGTATGAAGAGAATAAATAGGAACAGAGGCCTGATACAAAGGCCTGTCCCTACCTGTGCAGTGAGAGAGGAACACGAGGAGCAGAGGGGTCCAGGCCATGGTGCACACAGCCCCTGAGCCCACGGTGGGGCTGGGCTGCCCAGGCCTCCTTTTCTCCCCACCCACTGTCAGGGGAGGGGCAGTCCATGCAAATGTGTGTCCATCCAGGGGCTGCCCAGCCCCACGCTGAGCCCTGGTGCTGGAGCTCAGCTCACACCCCAGAGTGAGGAGAATGAAGATTGATTTCACCTCGTGAAAGAGCCCTTAGACGAAACACCTGCTGAGAAAACTCAACCATCTTTGTTCAGAGGACTCTGACAGGCCATAAAAGACATAGCTGCTGAGTTACCATCAGGGAGCACAGGGCGGGTCTCCCTGTGACTGTGCCCCACCCCTGCCCAGCTCCTTTGCCTGAATGGTCCTCACTGAGCAGCTGTGTGGGGACCCCAGGGAAGTCCCACAGCGTCCCCTGCTGGTTACAGAGCACACTCCTCCCCATGGTGCAAAGCCCTGAGAGTCCTGCTGGTTTCTGTGGCTCCCTAGGTCTCTGTCTCTATTCACACATCTGTGGTCTAATTTCCAAAAAAGAACGACCTTATGATCCAGCTCTTCCAACTCTGAGTATTTATCTGCAGAAAAGAAAAACACTATTTTGAAAACATACCTGCAAACCCCATACTCATGGCAACATTATTACAATAACTAAGATATAAAAATCATCAAAGTGATTGATGACACACTCACATCTGGAGTGTGACACACTCCAGACACACTCACATCTGGAGGAAGCCCATCCATCAGGTGCTCGTTGCCAAGTACGCCCCCAACAGGTTCTACATCGCCTCCAAAGATGTCCCTGGGGAGCTGAGGATCTGGGCACCACGCGGAAGGAGCACCTCTTCAAGTATGAGGTTCAGCCCTGTGCTGGGAGGGTCGGGCGCGCTGCTAAAACGGGAGACGGCAGACCAGCCAGGCCAGGTGGTGGCTTCCAGAAAGACTCAGAGCGGACAGGCACCCACCTTACCTTGTATTCCACTCAGTCTCTGTGCTTGATTTTAAAAAAGAGGCTCTGATTTTTTTTTTAATGTTCTTAACTGTTGCCTGTTCTCATTACCCAGTCGTGGTCACAGGCCCTGCCTCCAGGGTTGTAGAGTCCTTGTCCCCAGACCGAGGCATCTGGGTCACCATTTCAGGGTCACACTTTGATGTTTTCCTGTCTTTCCTTCCCTCTGCTGCCCACAAGGTCAGAGATTAGTTACGGTAAAGATAAACTCACTGTAATCTGTGACACTTCTCCCCTCCCTCTTCCTTTAAGTGCATTTAAATTAATTATGAACCAAAAATAACTACATAAATGGTAAGCCATTATAAATTTCTTTTTTTAATGTTTTATTATTATTATATTTAATATTTTATTTATTTATCTTTAGAAAAGAAGGGAAGGAGAGAGGGAGAGAAACATCAATGTATGTTTGCCTTCCATATGTCCCCTGCTGGGAACTGGCCTGCAGGGAACCGGCCTGCAACCCTGGCATGTGCCCTGACTGGGAATCGAACCGCGATTATCTGGTTCACAGGCCCACGCTCAATCCACTGAGCTACACCAGCCAGGGCTATAAATTTCTTTTAATTCATAATCTACCCTCTATGCATGGGAGTGGGGACCAAAGTCAAGGTCGCTCATAAACTGAAGAACTATTAAAATTAATTAATAGATTCAGGGGATTCTTGTTTTATTGTCTATTTTGTATGTTTTGGAACTTTTCCTTATTGTTAATTTTATTTATGAATCACATCAGTCGTGACTTACAAAACACAAATGATCTGTGTTAACAATATTTAAAAACAGAGCATTCTCATTTTCACAAATTAAAGTTAGATAATGATGATGATGATGATGATAACATGTGTGTGACTGAGTTGGCATTCATCCCAAAGGCAGCATCCCAGCTTGTCCACACGCTTAGATCTTTAGCCCCTGAGATGCCCGCTCTGACCTTCCTAATTGCAGGTCCCCACTCCCCTTGCTATGGCGGGGCTGAGAGTCTACACCGTGTCCAATAAAATAGGGACACGGTATTGGCTGGGCGTTCGCATTACCTCCACTAAGCAGCTGCGTTTCGGGGCTCCCGCATTTTGTGTCCATGCTCCAGTACAGGCGTGACTTCTCTCTGCCTCCCTCTGCCGGCTCCCCTCCTCCTGCCTCCGCCACTCACCTTCCTTTGCTTCAACTACACCGGGTTTCCTCCAGCTCCCAAAACTGGACATGCTGTTCCCTACCTTACAGTGCTGTTCCCCAACCTGCAGTGCCATCCTCTTGGCACCGATCTAGTATTTCAACAATGTCATTAATTTTCTGCTGGGCAAAAATCAGTATATTTCTAATATATTTTTTAAGTTTCTTGAGTACATGTTGCTTGCAACAAAGAGAAAGGAATTCATGGCATGGTCTCTACAGGACACCGTCCCTGTGAGGTGCATGTTCCTCATTACCCCTGTCCCCACATTAATCTGAACAGGGGAAGATGGAGACATGCCGACCATCAGCTGAACATGGAAAACCAGATACATCAAAGAACAAACTCCCGTTTTCAACAAGTGCCTGGAAGACACTTTGCAAACCAGGAGCAGCACCTTCAGGAGAAGCGGTTGGGACAAATGAAGACACTGGAGGCCGTGTCAGTAACTCCCCCACTGTCTGTGGCTGCCCTGCTAGTTCAGATGTCGGGACATGTGATTTCACATCAGGTAACCATGTCTGTGCTCAGGCTTTTTGAAGGGCAGATGGTGCCTCGGTACCTCTTCTGACACTGTAACTGTGTTGGTCACTACCACAGAGTAATAGGCAGTACTACTCCACCCTTGTCCCCCAGATAGGACCCCAAGAGGGTCAGGGTAGTTGTATTGATGAGGAGGGTCTAGAGGTCAAAGGCAGGGGTCAGGGTGTCAAGAATTGCTTCTTGTTTGTATCATAAATCAGTGAATGTCCTGAGTGCTTGGCCCGACTTCTGCTGGAACTGGTATGAATAGTGACTGCTGGAAAATGCTCCAGTGCTAGAGCCACAGGTGAGAGTGACTGTCCCTCCTGGGGACACAGTCAGTGAGGGCTCCTGAGACTCACAGCCTGACAATTGGACCCTGAAATACATAGAATCACATGTCATTGATGAAGAGTAAAAGCAGAGGGATGGATGCCTCCAAAGGCTGGGCCCTGAAGAGTTCATGGACCTGGGCAGAGGGTGAGGAGGGGGAGCAGGAGGAGAGGATCCCAGGCCACGGTGGGCACTTTCCAAATGCCCTGGCCTCCATCAGGAACTGGTCTCTGGGTGTCCTTTTATCTTCCCCTCAGCTCCCCTGGTGAAGGGTGTTTTCAGTGTTGCCATATCCGAAATGAGCTCACAGGGCCATCTGATCCTGGGTCCTGGGCCCACTTTGTAGCTTTCACCTTCAGGAGGAGGCTGCGTCATTCTGAGCTGTGAGTCTGTTGGTTTGGAGGAAGCACCTGCTGTCACCTCCAACTCGGGCCATGAGCATCAGCCCAAGGCCCATTTAATCAGAACCATTAGAGTTGATTTCACCACTGTAGCTCTGAGAAGACCCACAGAACTCCCACTGACATTGTCTAGAGATATTTAGGATGATGTGAATGATTTCCACCACAAACCGTCAAACACACAACACAAAGATACACAAAATAACAAATAAGCATTCCATATTCTTGCTCCCTCCAGAGAGTTGTCTTTTTATAGTACATCTAGTGCATTTTTGGTCCTACATTTTCATCTGGTTTCTTTTTATGACTTCCTGTCTATTGAGAGATTCTCTCCTTTTCCGTTCTTCCCAGGCCTGTGTCCTCACCTGGCATCTCCTATCTGAGGTCCTGGTCCCTAAGTTGCGGTTCCCCTGGGCCCACCTGAGCACGGCATCCCCAGAGGGATGGGGATGTCTCTGCCCTGATCCCTGGGGCACAGAGTCTCTGCTGTGGGGGGCAGACTAGTGGACACACTGTGCACCAGCCATGCTTCCAAGGGGAGTCTGTACATGCAATTCACCTTTAAAGGATTAAATCATCTTGAACAAGACTCTGAGAAGGATGACTTTTTTAAAAAGATCCTTCATTTCTTATTGTGTTTTCTCCATTTTTACTTTTCCTCTATACCCTCTTTTACCTCCACCCACCTTCACCCACAGTCACCCTGGATTGACCAAGGTTTTTGTCCCACTTCCCCATCTGTGTGAGTCACTGTGAGGATCATTACTGTGTGATGTAGCACAGTAATAGTCGGCCTCGTCCTCAGGCTGCAGCCCAGAGATGAGCAGGAGCCCTGCATTGGCCGAGGTGTCTTTGGATCCAGAGAAGCGGCTGGGGACCCCTGAGCCCTGGTGCTTGTCTGAGTCTGTGTGATAGTTCAGCAGATACTGAGGAGAGTTCCCTGGGTTCTGCTGGTACCAGTATATCCTGTATCTACCGACATTGAAGCCACTGCTGAGGGTGCAGGTGAGTCTGGCTGTGGCTCCCGGGGATGCAGAGAGAGAGGGCGGCTGAGTCAGCACAGGCTGGGACAGGCAACCTGCAGACACACAGACACTCGTGGTAGCTGGGGTCAGCATAAAGTTTAAGCACTTTAGGATCTAAGCTACAGGGGTAACAGAGGATGGGTGGGTGACCCTGGGCATCTGAAGACTTGTCATACCTGTGCAGTGGGAGAGAAGTACGATCAGGAAAGGGGTCCAGGCCATGGTGCAGACAGCTTTCTGTGGCCCCAGATGAGGTCTGAGGTGGGCCAGGCCTTTTTATACTCTCCTTGGCTGGGAAGAGGAGGAGCTGTTCACACTTATTTGTTTCCCCCGATGACGATGAACCTGTTCCACCCTGAGAACCAGCCAAGTGTGAGCCTGGCTGATTGGACAGAGGAGCTGATGGGTGAGACTGGGTTTGCCCCCTGGGAGGGTCTAGGACAGAAGCAGCTGCTGGGACCTTACACAGACCAGTGAGCAGGAGGCTCTGCCTAGCCCAGTGAGGATGCAGCTGCAGGGTCCCCATCAGTGACCACAGGCCCCAAGCCACAACGGGAGGTGCCCACTGCCCAACCATGGTGGACCCACAGCACCCCTGCACTCACTGCTCAGAAATCATTTGTGCATGGAAACATCTGGTCACTGTCAGTCCAAAGACGTCCACGGGCACAGCCTGTGCTGCACCCCAGGTCTCTGATATAAACAAACCACCTTTTCCAATGCTGGGTCTCCTGGAGTCTGAGGGGAGGGAGATGTAGAAATCAGGACCACCATCTCATGTGGCCAAGGCTGTGGGAGGAAGAGAACAGTGGGCTCTGGGAGGGACACCTGAGCTGTCATTTCAACCAGGGCCCCAGAAAAGGGCTGGGATTGGGGTGGTCCTGGAGAACAAAGCATTTCAAGAACATGGGCAGGTTTGTGGGATGGTGTACCAGGCTTGGCGGATACTCAGATGCATGAGAACGTGAGGCACTGAGGCAAAGGCAGCACAATGAGCGTCACAGTGTCACATGGCAATGCACTGGCCGGACGAGGGAGCCCAGGGGATGCAGGTTGCAAAGAACCTTCTCTGTCCTAATGAATAATTGCCAAATATGCACAGTCATTTAGGGAGGTGTTTTTGACAGGCAACCAACTGCACATGTTTAGTGTGTACCATTTCATAAATTTGGAATTGTGTAAACCTGAGAAATCACCACCAATATCAAGAGAATGAATGCACCTGTCAGCATCACAAGCATATCCACATTTTCTGAAATTCCTTTCTTTTTCAACCCTTCTCCCCAGTTCCCAGGCAAGCATTGATCTCCATTTTCCCCATAAACATTCAATTTCCTATTTTAGCATTGCATACATTTGAAATATTATGTCCTGTCTTTATATTTCATCTGGCATTTTAAAACTGGATCCATGCTACATCATATACCCATGTCTTTTTGTTGCTCACAGTGCCCAGTCTGTGGATGTTGCTCAGTGGATTTCAACAACCACCCACTGGGAGATCGGGGTGGTTTCCGGTTTGTGGTGATTGGAAGGAAAGCTGCTCTGAATGTCTGTGTGGCCCCAGAGTAAGCACGTGTAGTGTGAGTACCTTTCTCTCTGGTTCACAGCAGTGGGACGCGCTAGAAGGCACATCTGTAATGTTTTAGGAGGTACCAGACTGTCTTGTAAAGCCAATCCATAACTTTCATTCCCACCAGCAGGACCTGAGAGCGGGACCTGTGCCGCATGCTGGTCCGCACTCCTCATGGTATGTCACCTGACCTTCAGATGCTCACAGGAGTGTAGCACCGTCTCCTGTGGCTTCATCTGCACTTCACTGACACCTTCTGAGGCCGAGCATTTCTCCCTGTGCTTGTTTGCCATCTTTATATTGTACTTGGTGGATCTTCCTTTGAAATAACTTTTTCAGCACTGAGTGACCTACATTAAAGTTTTTATTTTAAATCAGGTGTAGGACTGGCAGATGGTCTGTGGCTGCTGTTGCCATTCTGTCAACACTGTCCGTCAGAGAGCACAATGTTTCCACCCAGTAAAGCACAATGCATGCATCTCTATTTTTTTTGTTTTTGTTTTTTTTGTGGATTTTTTTTTTTTTTTGCTGTTCTGGTTCAGAACATTTTGCCAGCTTGAGATTTTGTTCACATTTCCTGGTGGAATTGTGCTTTCATCTCTAAAAGTTAGCAGTTCTATTTCTGGCATACAGGGTGCTTTTGTCATTTACAGTGATGACGCGTTCTTGTCCTTTACTCCTGGGTTACCACACCAGCCGAGGTTTAGGATGTTTCTCCTAATCCACAGATTAAGAAGTCCAAGGAGCCAGTGAGAAGGGAGGAATCCTGGGGGACTTTATGTCACAGAGGCAGCACGTGCTGGTTCCACCACAGGCTCAGGAACGGGGGCTCTGCTGGCCCCTGGGGGCAGGCACAGCTTCAGACACCTCAGCACCAGCTCCAGGACCGTGGTCTTCCTCCAGACTCCGAGTCAGCGGGACTCCCTGGGCGTGAGCTCACCAGGTATGAAGAGAAGGAATGTCTCTGGGAAGAAAGTTGAGGGGGCGGGGCCTGTCCAGGACAAGCTCCCGTGCTGGTCGGAGACCTGGACCCAGGGAGTCCCTAGGTCATGTTGCCTTTGGAGCTCTGCTCACCTTGGGCAGCTTCCTTCTCCCTCCACATCTTCTGGACGTTTCTCTGCTGTGAGCAGGTGATGATACCTGTGATGATTTACCTGGCTTGAAGGATGTTAGGGGCCTTCCTTAGACCTCTCATCCAAGAAAAAAAGCCCAACTCAAGGAGGGGGGATGGAAGCGACAGGAGAGTCACTAATACAGACAGACACGGACAGGAGGGGCTGCACTGGGAGCAAGGTGTCAGGTCTCTCTGGTTCACGGGGACCTTGAGGAGGAGCAGGAGGACCTTCCCTGCTGGAAGGTGAGGATTGGAAGTGCTCCCTTACTCTTCATTGCATGGACCTTGCTAACCTGCCTCTAGGTGGCAGAAAAGCACCAATTCACCCATCAACTCCACTGTGTCCTGGCTGACCATCTTCTGGTGCACAACATACAAAAAGCACTGATTCTGAAGATTGTTACTTTAGGAAAGACCTGCAAGTCTAGCAGCTCTGAGAGACCCAGGGCCATAACTGACACATCTTCTCAACAAAAGCTGCCTTAAAATTAGAACAGGCAAACAAACCAAAATAAACAAAGTTTTGCATGTGACTGCTCTGTGTGAATGCACAGCCCTTTGTAACATTCTCATTGGGAACTGGAGACTCTGCAAGATACCCGTGCCCTGCCCCTGGGAGGTTAAGTCTCAGAGCTGAGCTTGGAGTTGCTGTGCAAACAGGTTCTCATGCTGTTGTTTATAATGCGCGTTGGGAAAATCCTCGGGATTTATGTCAAACCTCAAATCAGTGAGCTTGGTGTCAAGTTCAGGTATAACATCCCTATTAAAGGCTATGTTTGCATCTTCTGGTAAAGTGCCTCTGAGTTAATGAAATAATGGTGCAACTGTAATAGTCAAACCCACTGTTAACCTCATTCTGTCTCCTGGGAAGCAGCTGGTTACACAAATGTGGTAAGAAAAAAATTGAGGCTTCTGAAGTAAAAGGAATTTTCTGTTGTCACCAAAGTGATTGTGACTTCTAGCCATTTTAGATTTATTCTTTTATTCTCATTTTTTATTTTTAGTATAAGCCAGTCCAATACTCTCAGTGACCAGCATGTGACAGTTTAGCAACCTGGCACAGTTTAACCGAAAATTGCCCTTAGAACAAGGCTTTAAGCATGAGCAGGAGAACTTTCCACAAAGCTTTAAAATTGCCTTCATTTGGCCTAATCTGAGGTGCTGCATGGGAGTTCAAGGTTGGTCTGTTGTGTTGTAAAACTCAGTGCAAGGCTCCAGTGGAACAGTGGGGACCTGAACGTGGAGGCCTGCCTAACCCTCCTCTTAGAAATCCCGGGAGTGGGCGTTTCAACATTGTGTGCAATTATATTCAATCATAAGGCAATGTGTGTGTGTGTGTGTGTGTGTGTGTGTGTGTGTGTGTGTGTGTGTATTCCTGCCCTACTCCTGAGGCAGAAATCCTGAAACACTTGTAAAGCCCTGGGTGATATCAGTGTCCCTTTCCCCAACGTGGTGACCCTTGGCAGGCTCCTGGTTGGGGCTTGGTCACCACAGAGACCAACCAGGATTAGAAGGTTGGAATTGTCAGCTCCACTCCCACTGTCTTAACAAGAGAGGAGGGCTGAGACTTGAGTCAATAATTCACCATGTCCATGGTATGAAAACTCGATACAATTCCCCAATGTATAAACTTTGTGGAGCTTCTGGTTTGAATCCACAGCAGGAGGGTGACACATGCCAGCTTGTCGGGGACAGTGACTCTTGTGCCCAGGAACTGCCCAGACCTCGTCCCCCACACACCTCTTCATCTGCCTGTTTGTCTCTACCCTTTATCCCACTCTCTGACAATATGGTATGGTAAAGTAAGTGTTGAGTTCCCCTGAGTTCCACGAGATGCTCTAGCAAACTAACCAAACCCAAAGTCAGGGTCATGGGAACCTCCCGATGCAGCCAAATCCCACAGAAACTGGGGCAGTCTGCAGACGTCCTGTTTGTGATTGGCATCTGAGTGGGGACAGTCTTGTGGGACGGAGCCCTAACCTGTGCATCTCACACTGACTCCAGGCAGGTAGTGTTAGCATTGAGATAAATTGCAGCTGGTGTCTTAGAGAATCTCTTGCTGTGATGAAGAATTCCCTCAAGTTCATGATCATGAGTGTGAGAAGTGAAGTTTTATACATGAGCATAAATGAGTTACAACTGGAGGATAAAACTCAGTTTTTAGTTTGAAAAATATTTCTTCTTGTTGATTTACTCCAGACACGGTGGGTCTGTGACCTCGGGCTCCGTGATGCACCGTGTGTGTTCCTAGGATGCCCCTGCCAGCTTAGGTGACAGCCCTAAGCTGCGGGGTACACTTTCCTCCTCAGGGACAGGTGTTGCCACAGAGAAGCCTCCCCTGCGTGGGCTGTCATCAAGAGAAGCTCAAAGCCAAATTCTATGGGCCCAGGGATTTCTGTCTTGCTTCCTTATCATCTGAGCCACTGTGAGTCACTGTAGTTGCTCCCACTGCCATGAGCTGTAGCACAGTAATAGTTGGCTTCGTCCTCAGGCTGTAGCCCAGAGATGAGCAGGAGCCCTGCATTGGCGGAGGTATCTTTGGATCCAGAGAAATGGCTGAGGACCCGGGAGCCTTGATGTTTATTTGAATCTCTGTGGTAGTACAGGAGGAACTGGGGATGACTTCTGCTGCAACCAGTATGTATGTACCATAGCTGCCAACACTGAAGTCACTGCTGAGGGTGCAGGTGAGTCTGGCTGCTGAGGGTGCAGGTGAGTCTGGCTGCATCCCACAGATGCAGAGAGGGAGGGTGGCTGAGTCAGCACAGGCTGGGACAGGGAACCTGCAGAAACAGACACATGTCGGTGATGGGGCAGAACCAGGGGAATTTTCTCAGGAAATAGAGCAGGAAAGAAATAAACTTGGAAACACAGGCCTGTTCCTACCTGTGCAGTGAGAGAGGAGCACGAGCGGGAGAGGAGTCCAGGCCGTGGTGCTCACAGCCCCTGAGCCCACAGTGGGGCTGGGCTGCCCAGGCCTCCTTTTCTCCCCACCCTCTGCCAGGGGAGGGGCTGTTCATGCAAATGTGTGTCCATCTAAGGGTTTCCCACCATCCCTGAGCCCTGGTGCTGGAGCTCAGCTCACTCCCAAGATAGTGGAGGATGGAGGTTGGTTTCATCCTTTGAAAAATCACAGGGATCAGACAAGATCATGTGCATTGAGAGTACCATGGCCTTACAGAGTATATGTGCATGAACCTCAAACACTAATCTGAAAGAACATAAGCACCCCTGTGTTCACTGCCCCATTACTTACGCTCGCCAAGGTATGTATGGAAGCAGCCTAAGTGTCCTTCAGTAGTTGAGTGGATAAAACAACTACGGGATACTGCTCTGCCATCAAAATGAAGAAAATTTTACCCTTTACAACAGTGTGGATTGACTAGAGAATATTATGCTGTCTGAAATAAGCCAGTCAGAGAAATAAAAAAACATATGATTTCACTCAAATGTGGAATCCAATGAACAAACTGAACTCACAAGGAAAATAGAGAATAGACACAGACCCTTAGTTAGAGACCAAGGTGACAGCTAAGGGGGGGAGGTCAGAGGGTGGAGGGACTGAGACCAAAAGGAAAAAGGACTCATGGACATGCACAACAGTAGGGTGATGGCTGGGCGGGGGGAGGTGATTAAGAGAGAATGAATGATAATGCAAAAAACATAATTAAAGGAAGAGAAAGCCTGAGGAGGAAGCACCTGCTGAGAGAACATAAACAAAGGTCTGTGCTCAAAGGATCTGCCAGGCCAGAGAGGATTCACCTGCAGAGTAAGTCAGTGAGTTCCCACCCCTCCCTCAGTCCCAGGCTCCACTGAGTAAAGGGTTATAACTGAGCAGCTGTGTAGGGACCAGAGGATGGTCTCACAGCGCCCCCTGCTGGTCACAGCACACACTCCTCACCACGGCCTGAAGCCCTAAGAGCCCTGCTGGTCTCTGCAGCTCAGCAGGTTACCCATCATTCCTTGGGCTTCATTCCTAAAACTGGAACGACTTTATGATCCTGAATTCAACTTGTGGGTGTTTATCTGAAGAAAACTAAAACATCTCTAGAAGACATGTGCAACCCCAGGTTCAGAACAGCATTGTTATACAATAGCCAACATGTGGAAATCATCTAAAAATCCTTTGACGGGTGAATGGCTAAAGATCATCTCATACATAATATATAATGTTAAATACACGTACAAATGAGCCTTTGAGAGAAATGGAATCTTGTCATTTGTCATGACTGGAATAAAACTTGGGGACACTATGCCATGAAAATAAGTCAAACAGCAAGACAGATACTATGATCTCACATACATGTGTAATGTGATCAACTAAAAAACTCTAATAAAAAAAAAGATGCAGAGAACAAATCAGTGGTTGCCAGAGGCTGAGGTAGGGTGGGACAGAAATGAGAGAAGAAGTTCAAAGGTACAAATTTGCAGTTATAACATAGATCAGGTCCTGGCCAGGTAGCTCAGTTGGTTAGAACATGTCTCAATGAGGCAAGGTTGTGGGTTCAACCTTTGGTCAGGGCACATGCAACAAGCAACCAATGAATGTGGAAACAAGTGGAACAACAATATCCACATCTGGGCCTGGGTCTCTCTCTCTCTCACTGTCTCCCGCCTCCTCTTTCTCACTGTATCTCTCCCACCCTCTTCCTCCCTCTCTCTCTAAAGTCATGTCTCCAAAGAAGCCATAAATATTTTTTTAGAATGTTATAGAAGCCAATATCTAGGAAAAGGCAGACTCATCACATTGGACACCATCATATGCACTTCCACTCAATGGAGAAGAGAAAATATTTAGAGGAAACTAGTGCAGGAACATACACATTTGTAAACATTTCCATACACAATCGTACATGCCCATGAAACCAAACCTGACTTCATACTTGTATCTGCAACTCTAACACGTCACTGCCGGGAGCATCACACCTCCTCCCCCTGGTGATAAGTGGCGATTTCCATTCCTGGAGTGAGGAGTCTGGCTCCCACCAGTGCCCACCCACTCACGTGATTATGTAGCGACAGTGCACAGCACAGCCACACCTGCACTGTTACCTGGACCCCCTGGGAATCCACTTTGTCACCTAGAGCACAGTTTTGTGTGCAGTTTCCTTTGTTATTAGTGTGACAGGGGCCATCACTGTCATAGGAACTTAGGTCAGTAACTTTCCTCCCCACCCCCATCCCTGCAAGACAGTGGCTCCTGCCTTCACAGTGCAAATGGATTGATTCCTCTCACCTTCCTGATTCCACCACGGGACCCTCAACCTCCTAAACTGCATGTCATGTGAACATGTTAAGGTCTGTCATTGTGCTTCACAGTTTTCAATGCATTTGACAGGGTCACAGTGCCATTTAGGTGCCATTAAATTGTCAAATAGAATAATTCTCTTGCTCCTCCTTTGGTTTCATGGAGTCAAATTTACAACAGATGTTCACACTCTCCCCAGAGTTTTGCCTCTTCCAAAATGTGACATCATTAGAAACATAATGTGAATCATATCACCTTTTAAAAAAAGGACACTTGTTGGAGAACCTCACTGCTGCCCCAAGCTTGGGATGAGTCTACACACAGCTGTAACACACACCCACACACGGCCTGTTTGTTGCTCTCTGGATGGGGAGACTGTTAATAAAGTGGCTGTGAACATTCACATACATTCTTTCCTGTGGGAAGAAGATTTGGATTTATTTTTGTCATTTACTTTATATTTTTATTGAGGTATGATTGACATACAATATTACATTAGTTTTAAGGGTACAACATTATTGTTCTATATGAATAGATATTACCAAAAATTCCCATAAGAGTGAGTCTAGTTGACATCTGACACTATACATAGATAGAAATATTATCATTTCTTGTGTTGCAAATGTCTGGAGTCTGCACATTTAGCTGCGGTTCATAGTTGCATGATCATAGCATCTCGGTTCATCCCGTGCTGTCCATGATGTCCCCAGAACCATTCACTTCCCACCTGAAAGTTGGCCCCCTTTCCCTCCTTTTGAACACATGGGCCACCTCCTTCATCTGTTACCTCTTCACACTACCAATCTGTTATAATTTTACACTTCTACATGGACATATCTTCACTGAGAATCAGAAGACAATACAGCAGTCAGCAGTGATTACACTGAAGGACATTATAACATGAGATGCAGACCAGCCTGACTCATCCTTCACACACAGCACACACAGTGCTCAGGCCCCCTGGTAGGTTCAGGGGCCCAACACAATGTTTTATTTATTTGAACATCACAATAAAAACGGAATACAAACCAGTCTGGAAGTAAACTGTCTACACCCTACGGGAAAACAGACTTTCAGTTTCATTTATGACATTTAGCCTGGGAAAGGGGTGTGGTGAGTGACTCTGAGGACAGAAAGGACAGAGCACCCTTCAATCCCAGGGAGTGTTCCTGGGGGAACCTGGGTCAGGACAGAAGCCAGAGAATGAGGAGAAGTCACAGGGCACAGGCTGAGCCTGAGCAGCAGCTGCTGCAGTGTTCACCCAGCTCACAGATGCCACAGGGGTTCTTGTCTCACTTCCCCACAGGCCTGCAGCACTGTGGGACCACTGACACTGCTGTCCCATGCTGCGCAGAAATAATCAGCCTCATCCTCAGCCTGGAGGCCAGTGATGGTCAGGGTGGCTGAGCTGCCAGACTTGGAGCCAGAGAATCGGTCAGGGACCCCTGAGTATCGATTGCTATTATCATAGATGAGGACTTTGGGGGCCTTTCCTGGGAGCTGTTGGTACCAGTCCACAGAATTACCCCCAATGTTGGAGCTGCTTCCAGTGCAGGAGATGGTGATGGTCTGTCCTGGGTTCCCAGACATCGAGGGTGGCTGAGTCACCACAGACTGGGCCCAGGATCCTGAAACATAAAGACACATGCAGATGGCAATTATGGGTCTAGAGACAAAGAAGAAAATACAGCGTGAGTATCTCCAGGGACCATCTCCAGTCCCCACATGCAGTCACCTGTGCAGTGAGACAAGAGGGTGAGCAGGAGAGGGGACCAGACCATGGTGGAGACCATCCCTGAGTCCTGCCTCCTGTGGCCCCACAGCTGAAGCAGGTTTTCCCAAAACCTCTCTCTTCCCTTTGTACTCTGAGAGGAGGAACCAATTATGCAAATATTCCCCGCCCCACCTTCTCAGTTTTTTATTCCTCTTCCTCCCTGAGCCCAAACCACCTGCCTTTGCCTGAGGACACCAGGGGTGTCTGCAGGGGTGGGATTTTGTGAGACCTGTGCTTTGGGGAAGTCACATCTCTCAGCCCCAACTGGCTGGCTGCTCCCAGCTCAGATCACCCCAGTTCCCTCAGAAACAACACCTGAGCGCCCTCTAGTGCCCAGGCCCACACTCCCATTATGTGTGGTGACCAGGACATCTCAGACACAGCCTCAGACTTCCACTTCCTGGCCACTGAAACTGCCTTAGGCCAGGGAACGTGTCCTCTCTTGTGGCACATCAGTGATGTCCTCAGAGACCTCAGGGTGAGCCTTTCCTCACCTCACTGGGCTGTCCATGCTCAGAAATGACATGGTGTCTCTAATGTAAACCCTTAGGCCAGTATCATGTCCAGAGCAGTGACCGGCACCAGGCAGGCATGTCCCCTTCTGTGCAGAACACAGGTTCCTTCCTCTCTGGGTGTTAGAGGTCTCCTTCCCTGTGGGTCCCCAGCAGAACTGAGGAGAAAGGGCCTCTTCTCTCTAGGGACCGGGCAGTTATGGGAGAAAGCCCCCTGCTCATCTCTAGTGTGCGACGCTGTCTGAACCTTTGTCTGTCATTATCCCACCTGCAGGAGACCCTCAGTCCCCCCACACTGTGAGTGGCAATCCCTCCTGGGAGCCTGTCCTCAAGTTCACAGTTAAACTTGGCTGGGACCTTGCCCTATGGCATTGTTTGTGACTTGTCTGTAGGAGTAAAAAGGGCAAACATTGAAAAAGTCCATGAAAAAATGTATATTGCTGGAGGAGGATTTTATTAATGCTGTTTGTCCAACTTAATTAAATGCAGGTATGTTCTTGTATATACAAGTCACCTCAATAAGACTGAGTTGAGAATTCAGTGATGATAAATACTGATGAAAATTGTGTTCAAATACTTATAGCAATGCACTGGAAATGCTGTTCTTGGTTGAAATGGTGGCTCTGAGATAGGTCTCCTAGCCGGTCACTCAGGGTTGCTGCTGTCCCTGGGCCATGCTGTCCACCTCTACGGTGCTGCCACAGGTGACCTTGTTCCTGAGACCTGGCCCCACATGGTGGGTGCTTGTGCCAGCCAAGCTTGGAAACAGGAGCCTGAAAGATATAACACATAGAGGAGCTAAGATTTGGGGAACGGGGCTGACTTTGCCCACAGCTTAGTTCACTGGAGGAATCACAACACAGATGTTGGGAGTGGCAGATGGGAAGTGAGCTTGGTGACCAAGGGGTTTCTGAAAGGAGAGAGTCATCAGTGTGGGAGCTCAAATCCACACATAAACTCAGAAAAAAGCCCCGTGTGAGCTGGGGGTGAGAAGACGTAAACAATGGGTTACAAACCCTTTCTCAAGTCCTCACTTGATAAAGTGATAAAATATCCTCCAAATGTGACAATAAGGACAAGAACTGACCCTCTCGTTAGCGCTGCTCAGGGGAAAGAGGCTGTGGGAGCCCCAGAGGTGGACTTGCGTTCCCCTGGGGCTGGGGCTCAGGAGAAGACAGGGCCTTGGGGTGTGCTGGTTGGTATGTTCAGGTTCATCCTCCCGCTGTCCTCAGGGGCTTCTGCCGTAGGTGACATGGACACTAACAGAGCACCAACAACCCCAGGATGTGGTTGCTTCAGTGGCCCAGAGTTTCATGAGGCATCACCAGGGCCCATGTAGCAATATCACACCATTGCATCCAGTGCCGCTGCCTCTTCCAGGGCGGGAGGTCTCTGCTTTCTTCCTGGGCCCCAGTCCCTGAGGGAGGCTGGATGAGCAGGGACAGATGCAGGGACCTGTGTGCACAGGGCAGGGACCACACTGCAGGGAGGGGGCAGAGCAGGAGGGGCGCCTGTCTGAGCCCGAGCATCAGGGAGCTTCAGCTGCAGCTGCATCGTGTGTAATGTCAGGGAAGGGGAGTCCCTGACATGGGGCAGGCAGTCGGAATCCCTGCCCCTCAGTCCCGGAGCTAAGGCCCAGCAGCCTCTCACCCACAGTCCCATTCCACAGTCAGAGGAGAGGGAGGGGCCTGGGGAGGTTAATGCTCTGTCAGCTTCCACAACACCCTTTATTCTAGTAGTTTCTGTGAACATGTCTGAAGTGTGTTAATCCTGCAGCCATTAGGCTGATGGAAGCAGACTATCGTCTATAACATGAGACGGCCTCATCCAGTCAGTGGAAGGGCTGATACAGCAAAGACGGACCTTCCCCAGGAAGACGGAGCTCTGCCAGCAGACGGCCCTCAGAGTCCAACCACACATGTCCTCGTCCTCCCCAGGCCTCCAACTGGCCCGCTCACATGGAGGGGGGGTCCCCCAGAGTTTCCTGTCATGTGAAATATAGTCCTTTAGAATTACTTTCTTGAGATATGTATATATACATGTGTGTACATATGTATATGCATGTATGTACAGTTATTACTCTCTTGAGATAGCATGTGTGTATATATGTGTGTATATGCTTATATATGCATGTGTGTGTATATATATGTATGGGCGTGTGTGTATATACATGAAGAGAGAGACAGGTGTTTGTTCTGTCCCTTCAGCCCTGCAGGAACACTAAGTCACAGCCCTTTGTTCAATCTCCTTTCTACTTTAGCTTTTTCTCAGACGATCCTGTTCTGTGGAAACACCTCTGATACGGGGACACAGATTGGGGCAAACAGACCGCTGGGCTCTGGGCCCTGCAAAGGCCAAGAGGGGTCAGAGTCAGGTGGACCACAGGTTTGGGCAAACGAAATTCCCCCCTCACGCATCAGCTGTCCCGACCCCCCCCAACAGACCAGGCTGCCTAAACCTGGTTCGTCACAGGGTGTGTCACACTGGCCCAGGACAGGCACAGGCAGCTCTGGAAATGAACTCTGATTTGAGAGGAGCGTCTCTGGAATTTTTCCTCCAGGATCACAGGTGCAGGTTCCATGGGTAAGTTCTGGACATAAAGATGGAGACACTGATTCCTGGGTCACAGTTCAAGAGCTGACTTGACTACAGCAGGATCCCCACCTCATCCCCTGAGCTTCAGGGCAAGGACACTCTTTCTCCATGCCTGACAGGAACATGGGCCTCTGTCCCCCAGGTCCCCTCCCAGGGCTGGGCGGTGGTGAGTGACTGGAGGACATGGAGGGAGGAGGAACCTTCACTCCAAGGGCTGCCCCAGATGAACCTGACCCACAGTGGCAGCAGCTTCTGTGCAGACGAAGCCACAGGCCAAGCTGAGCAGGCAGCTGTGGGGGCGTTCCCCTCCCAGCAGATGAGGGGGACACTGGTGGCAGTCAGAGACCCTGAGGGTTGACAATTGTCATGATAGTTGAGGACATTTGAGGATGTGTTCTGACTCAGACACAGCTGGATTCTGCGTCCCTGATTCTGCCCTGACTCATCATGGACTCTGTCCCCAAGGCTGCCTGCAGCTGCATCCAGGAATTCCTGCTCAATTTGAGAAAACCACATCAAGTGCTGCTGCCAAGGACAAGTGCAGGGACAGAAGTTAAAGGGTGAGGACAGGTTTTCCAAACAAGGTCACCGAGGTGGGTCTCAGGCCCCAGTAATGGCCAAACACAAGAATCGGCTGGCTTATCAGAGGCGCAGCATTTGCCCATGGAGGCCCCATTTCAAGAGGGACAGCAGGTTTTTGTCTCGCTCCCCCAGGGCCCTGCAGCACTGTGTGACCACTGAGACTCTTGTCCCATGCTGAGCAGTAATAATCGGCCTCGTCCTCAGCCTGAAGCCCAGTGATGGTCAGGGTGGCTGAGCTGCCAGATTTGGAGCCAGACAATCGGTCGGAGACACCTGAGGGTCGTTTGCTATTTTCATAGACAAGGAGTTTGGGGACATTTCCTGGGAGCTGTTGGTACCAGGACACATATTCACCAGCTCCAATGTTGGAGCTGCTTCCAGTGCAGGAGATGGTGACCTTCTGTCCTGGGTTCCCAGACACTGAGGGAGGCTGAGTCAGCACAGACTGGGCCCACGATCCTGCAAGACAGAGACACACAGAGATGGTGATTCTGGGTCCAGAGACAAGAAAAAAAAGCATGTCCAAAGATCTTTCCAAGTTCTGTTCCCTTCTCCTTGTATCCAGTCACCTGTGCAGTGAGCAAGGAGGGTGAGCAGGAGAGGGCACCAGGCCATGGTGGAGACCATCCCTGAGTCCTGCCTTCTGTGGCCCCACAGCTGAAGCAGAGCTTCCCCCACACCTCTCCCTTCCCCTCTTCATACTCTGAGAGAGGGAGGGCCCACTCATGCAAATGAGACCCTCCAGATTTCTGTTTCCTCACTGTCCCTGGGATAGGCCCCTCTTTCTGATGTCAGAAGGGTGGGCAGGGTTAGGGTTGTGTGGGGCTCAGAGCATGGGGAGGACACAGCCATGAGCCCTGAGCAGAAGGCACAGGCCCTGCCAGGTGGCTGCTCCAAACCGATCACCCCTGAATCCTCAGGAACAGCACCTGAGCGCCCCCTGGTGTTCAGACACAGACACATCATGGTACCACATGGTGAACATAGCTTCACACATAGCTACTGCTCCACTTTTCACCGCCAGTTTCCTCCTGCCTTAGAGTCAGGCCAGGTGTGCCCTCAGGTGGATTCCTCATCACATGAGGGCAGAATTTACACTCTACACAGACACCCCAGGGTGAGTCTGTCCATGTCCTTGGCTGTTCCGTGGTCAGGACAGAGGTCTTGTGTCTCATACAAACTTCTCTGAGATCAGGAGCATGTCCAGAGCACTGACCATCCCCATAAAGGCAGATCCCCTTCAGTGATGGGACACATGGTTTCTCCTTACATAGTCCCCTTTCCTGTGAACTGAGCTCCCTTCCTCGTGGATCCCCCACAGCCCTGAGAAGATGGAGCCCTTCTGCCAAGATGGATTGGCAGGTAAAGAACAGAAGCCCCTGTGGATGCCCAGTGGGTGGTGGTCTGGGAGCCCCACACTGAGAGCTTGGTTCACAGTGAGACTCTTTGACCAGATCACTGCCATCTGTGCTCAGGGGCCTCACAACGTGACCTTGTCTGCTCCTTTTCCATATGATCAAAGACAGCAAATGTGCACTAGGTTCCAGAATGAAATGACTTTAACACTCAAACTGTTTCACAGCGGATGGTTAAAACTGCGTGCACACATCTGTTGAGAATGGTATAGGAGCCGATATCTGGCAAAAGGCAGACTCAGCACTCTGGGGGCCATCAACTTTCAAGTCTGTGAAAGGACAGAATAATGGGACACACGTGAGGACAGTGATGCAGGAACGTGCACATTTGTAAATACTCCTATGTGCCGTCTTCTGTCTCCATGACCCTGAACATGAGCCCCACTGCTATCTGAGCTCTAACACGTCATGATTTAACTGGGTCAGGCTCCTCCCTTGGTGATGAGTGTCAACTTCCATTAATAAGAAGAGCAGTCTGGCCCCCACCTGTGCCCACCCACTCACGTGATTATGTAACGACTGTGCACAGCACAGCCACACCTGCACTGTTACCTGGACCCCCTGGGAATCCACTTTGTCACCTGGAGAAGTTTCATGTGCAGTTTCCTTTGCTGTTAGTGTGACAGGAGCCCTCACTGTCACAGGAACTTAGGTCAGTAACTTTCCTCCTCAACCTGGGGCAGTCGCTCCTGCCTTCACAGTGCAAACTGATGGGCTCCTGTCACCTTCCTGATTCCACCACGGGACCCTCAACCTTCTAAACTGCATGTCATGTGCACATGTTAAGGTCTGTCATTGTGCTTCTCAGTTTTCAATGCATTTGACAAGGTCATAGTACCTTTAAGTACCACTATATTGTCTCGTAGAATATTTTGATCACTCCCCAGGAAATACCTTGTGTTCACAGAGTGAGCTCTTCTCCTTCTAAACCATGTGTACCCAGATGTCCATGCTCTCTCTACAGTCTGTCTCTTCCAAAATGTGACATCATTAAAATCATACTCAGAACAGCATCCCCTTTTAAAAGAAAGGCACTTTGGGGGGACGTCTTCACTGGTACCAGCTTGAGGAGACTCTATAGAGAGTTTAATACACATACATGCACAGATGTTCAGGTGCTTTCAGACCAGGGAGACTATTAATAACGGCACTACACACTTTCACATGCAGGTATTTCTGTGGACAGAAATTTATATTTATTTTTATAATTACATTTAGTAATTATGTTATTTTAATTGCTGTGAATTGATATTCAACATTTTATTCATTTTAGGTGTAAGAGATCATCATTCTGTGCTGATATATATTGCAGAATCATCACCAGAATAAGCCTAGTTGATTTCCATCACTACACATGGTAACAATTTGTATCATTTCTTCTGCTGCAAATGTTCAAGGTCTGCTCATTTAGCTGCATTCACAGCCTCACGATCAGAACATCTCTGTCCTCATCCCCATGCTGTTCATGACTTCCCCAAATCCATTCATTTCAAACCCAGAAGTTGGTCCCCTTTCACTCCCTTGACCCACATTGGCCACCCCCTTCATCACCCACCTCTGGAAACCACCAATCTGGTATAATTTTACACCTCGAAATGGCCATCTTTGCACTAAATATCAGAAGACAAAACAAAGCAGTCAGCACTGATTACACTAAAGGACATTATAATGAGATGCAAACAGCTGATTTGTCCTTCACGCTCAGGAAGCACAATGCTGAGGGCCTATAATACTTTCACAGACTCTGCACAACATTGTGTTTTTGTTACCATTACAAGGAAAAATGAACATAAAACAGTCTGAAAGTAAACTGTCTTCGTCTTGTGAGAAAATGGACTTTCCTTTTCATTTAGGACCCTTAGTGTGGGACAGGGCTGCTGTGAGTGACTGAGGACAGAAGGGGAGAGAAGCATCCTTCAATGCCAGACAGTGTTCCTGGGGGAACCTGGGACCAGGACAACAGCCAGGCAATGAGCAGAAGTCACAGGGCACAGGCTGAGGCTGAGCAGAAGGGGCTACAGTGTTCACCCAGCTCACAGATGCCACAGGAGTTCTTGTCTCACTTCCCCACAGGCCTGCAGCACTGTGGGACCATTGAGACTATCGTCCCATGCTGCACAGTAATAATTGGCCTCGTCTTCAGCCTGGAGCCCAGTGATGGTCAGGGAGCCCGAGGTCCCAGACTTGGAGCCAGAGAATCGATCAGGGACCCCTGAGGGTCGCCTGTTAGTACCATAGATGACAGTTTTAGGGGGTTTTCCTGGAAGCTGTTGGTACCAGTACACATAATTACCCCCGATGTTGGAGCTGCTTCCAGTGCAGGAGATGGTGACTCTTTGTCCTAGGTTCCCAGACAGGGAAGGCAGCTGAGTCAGCACAGACTGGGCCCAGGATCCTGGAAGAGGAAGACACACAGAGATGTGATCAGGAGTCTAGAGACAAGAGGAGGAACCCATCTTCCCAGCATCCTTCCCCCACCCCCTTATCCAGTCACCTGTGCAGTGGGACAGGAGTGTGAGCAGGAGAGGGGACCAGGCCATGGTGAAGACCATCCCTGAGTCTTGCCTTCTGTAACCCCACAGCTGAAGCAGAGCTTCCCCCACACCTCACCCTTCCCCTCTTCATACTCTGAGAGAGGGAGGGCCCACTCATGCAAATGAGGGACCCCAGCCACAAACCTGCTATATGATTCCTCCCTGGGCCCAAACCAGGTGCCTCTGCCTGAAAAGGCCATGTGTGTTTTCAGGGTGGCGCTGTGTGAGGCCCATGGGCGGGGGAAGTCATAGCTGGTAGCCCAGGACAGAGGACACTAGGCAGAACCAGGAGGTTGCTAACAGCTCAAAACACCCCTGGTCCCTCAAAACAGCATCCAGCGCCCTCTAGTGTCCAGGGTCAGGCACAGCATTGTGTGACAAGGTGCCCAGAACCTATCAGAGACAACCTCTGCATCCCAGGACTCTCTGTCCACTGAACCTGGCCTTAGGTCCTGGCCAGGGGTCCCCTCTGGTGGTCTCCCCATCACCTCAGGGCATTTTGTGCTCTCTCATTGTTCTCTGGTTGCATCTGTCCTCAGCTGTCTTGTGATGGTTCAGTGGTCAGAACTGAGTCGTGTCCCTCAAACAAACTCTTAGGTTACTATAAAGTCCAGGGCAGTGAACAGCCGAGGTTGTATTTGCCGTATAACAAAGACTTGACCATCTCTGTGATGGGGATTGGGCAGTATGGCTTAGGTCCTTGTCCCAGACCCAAGCAGTCCCTCCCAAACCCCCTGGGTCCATGGACAGAAGTGGACTCAACAGCCATGGGTGCAGCCTCCAGATGCTCATGAGAACTTTCCACCTGAGCCTCCACCTGTGGGGCTTTAACCAGGCTGGTGTGTTGTAAGAAGAGTCAAGTGTGGAGATGGGACTGGACCAAAGGCCACGGATCAAGGAAGGGCCTCAAATTGTGGGTCCTGAGAGACAACTGACTGTAGGGAAGGCTCCCGAGTCTAGTGTTGGGTCCACAGGGTGAGGTGGGTCTATGGGCCTGGCTGGGGTTCCAATAGAAGACTTGCATCTCATTTTCATCTTGGGCTGGTGCCTTGGCTTAGTGTGGGATCCATGCAAATGTCAACAGACATTGTCACCCTAGTTCCTTCCTGTTCCATCCTCCTACAGGAGCCCAGAGGGGTCAGGAGAATGAGCGACCAGGTCTGGACACAAGGGAACAGTTAGGGTCCTTGAGGGTTCAGGACACCAGTGTGACTCTCTGGGGCTCCTGTGTGGGAGCCCTTGGGGCCTGGACACAGTGCAGCCCGACTCAGTGGCTCCTTCCAGGGCTGATGGAGCTGACATTCCAACCAAGGGGGGTGCAGCCAGCTTGGACAGTGCAGACCACCAACAGGGCCCGGGAAGGGACCACGTGACACATCTGAGGAGGAGTCGGCCCTGAGAAGGCCCAGTGACCCTGCCTGCTGTCAGTCGGTGGAGTTTGCAACACGCCAATCCTGGAAACAGTGAGAAATTGTATTGTCCCCTCTGCTGACACCCACCCGTGCACCCTCTCAGGGGGGAATTGTTTAAATCAGTAATAACATGAAAAGGAAAAGTGCTCGTATAACCTTCCTGCTGAGTGCTGACACTTTACTGTGTTTGTGTGTAAGAAGGTATTTCACAACATGTTAAAATTTTCTTTCTTATTGATTGTTGAATATTGTATTTATTTTACTACAGACATTATCTAAGATTTTTTTTAAGTATTGGGACCGGAAGAGCACATGTTATGAACTACTTTTTAAGTTATACACTACATTTATTAATTGAAACTAGAAATTTTAAAATTATTGTTAAATAAACTGTCTATTCAGTCTCTAGACTCCTATCTACAGATGGTAGTTTCCACCACTTTAAACTTAAATTGACTCCTTACCTCCAAATATTTTCATTTTTCCTGCTTCTGTTACTCATTTGGGACCACGTCCACTGTCCCACCTGTCACAGCGGCTGTGTCCACAGCCAGCACGAGGGCCCTCCATTCAAGGGCGACAGAGCTGCCCTGTGAGCTCCAGGACCCACCCCCAGATGGAAGGCGCGCGGCCTCAGCAGGACAGGGAGGGGCTCTCCATTCCCCACGTCCGCACGTCCTTCTACAGAACCAGCAGGGTAATGCAGGTGGCAGCCACTTACACATTTATGGTAAATGTCACGTGTGTTTTTCTACTACTTAAGGCTGCTGCAATTTTAAAATAAATAGCCAAAATAGTTCCCTTTGAAAGAAACATACTCCTTTCACCCCAAGATGGATCCCCACTTGTGTGTCTCTCTGGTTTACGACAAAGCTTCACAGTCACTCACTTCTCATGTTCGATTCCCAACACCTTCTCCGGAGCCTTTTTCTTCCACTTGCAGAAGTGGGAGGGATGCTTCTGTGTCCCAGAGGCAGACAGGCCTCACGCAGGGCCTCGTGTGACGATGTCATGAAGGCAACAGGTTTTTTGGCCGCATGAATGGTCTCAGATCTCCTCTGCTCTGGGTGACGAGCCACACACTGACATGCCGGCTCAGCTGGAGGACGAAGGGCACACAGCACTGAGGATGAGGGTCCACAGGCACCAAGGCCCTGCCCTCCTCCCAGCTGAGCTTATTCCTGACACTCACAGCAGCCACCCCTGCCTTCCTGGGCCTGCAGGGACCCCCCATCCTCACAGGGAGCCCAAGGTCTGAAGGCAGGTGCTGATGGGGACCAGTGTGTGCAGAGCAGAGGGTCAGGCCCAGGACGCCAGCGGGGAGGGGACGGCTCGTGGCCTCAGGAGGACAGAAAGAGCCCCCACACGGGGGCTGGTGCTGATGGGGAAAGGTCCTCACATCTGTGGGCTCCTGACAGAGACGATATGAGACTGTGGGATCCCTTGTGTCAGATTCTGGCAGGTCCCTCCCTCCTGAGCTGAGGACGTTGACAACAGCCTCCCACCGACCCCTCCCCTGCTTGTCCAGAAGGAACCTGGGTCCCTGGATAAAGTATCTGCCTGGAGAGTAAACAGATGGGAATGTGAAATCAGAAAGGATCCGGTTCTTCTCAAAACCAGAGATGCTGGGAGAGTCTTCAGATCCTCAGAGGGTGGTCAGAGATGGGACAACCGAGTCACCTCTGATGGGAAGCTAGAGGAAGGGACGTGACCACAGATGGTGGGAGCACAGAGGGAGGGGGAGAGTCACATCTTCAGTCCTCACGGCTGGAACACACTGATGAGAACATTGTCTATCAGCTCCTGTACATAAGTCTCTTCCTGGGACTGGATGTAAAACAAGAGTGGGAAGCATTCCTTGAAAAACCTGAAGCCAGAGTTTCCATCACAAAATTCTCTGAGATAGATGTCCCAGGTCGCCCACCCCAGGGCTGCTGCTGTCCCCGAGCCACACTGTGGCTCCACGTCTGTGATGCTGCTTTGACAATAGGTGACCTTGTTCCTGAGACCCAGCCCCACATGGTGGGTGCATGAGCCAGCACAGCCTGCAGGCAGGAACCTGGAAGACATCAATAAAGAGGGACTGACACGTGGGGTCCCTGCTTCTTTGTCCCCAGCTTAACTCCCTTGAGAACCAACATTCCCGGAGGTCGTGGTGGTTTCAATGGGCTCAGAGTGTTGATGAGATTTCAGGAATGTTTATGTGTCAAAATCACCTTGTTCTATCCCTGCTGCTGCCTCTGCCAGGACAGTAGCTCTTGACTGTCTGTCCCGGGTCCCAGGCCCTGAAGGAGGCTGGATGAGCAGGGAGAGATGCAGGCACCTGTGTGCACAGGGCAGGGACCACCCTGCAGGGAGGGGGCAGAGCTGGGGCGGGAAGCCCGAGGGAGCGTGAGCATCAGGGAGCTTCACCTGCATCAGGTGTGATCAGTGAGGAGAAGGGGAATCCAGGACGTGGGGGAGACGACCTGAGCCCGGATCTGGGCCCCCTCTGCAGCACATGTACTGGAAGACCTTGCAGTTAACTCACTGCACCTCCTTCCGCTTGGGAGAAACTGTTGTCGTGGGCACACTGAGAATTCTGAACCACACACCAAGATATTTACTTCAGTGTAAATTACTTGCCATGTTCTCTCATTTTCACTGTATCAGACTATTCTTTCTTTCAGATTTACCCTGAAGTATTTCACATGTACGCTGTTATGAATAAGTACTGACACGGAACAAGTGGGTTCTGGCGCCTGCTCTAAGGAAAGCCAAATAGGTGAGACGGGAGCTGGTGCAAAAGACCAAGGTTTGTTTAGGTTCTGTGGGAACTTCCCAAAATCTTGTGAGTTCCCTCATCAGGCTTTTATTGGGGACATTTATAGCACTGGGTTTGGCAGATCCACAGCCCTTCCACACTCTCCTAAGTCTCCAGAGTAGCAGATGTGGTCATAGCCAGGGGCAGCTGGATGGATTTGGGGTCCCAGTCCTAGAGAAGCACTGCGCCCCACCCCCAAGAGGCTGTGTCTGTGATAATGACGTTGGCGGAGAGTTGGTGGAAGGAGACATGAGAGAGGAGTCAGCAGCAGCTCATGGAGACGCAGGGCTGGTACTCAAACCTGTGTCCATGGCACCTGAAGACTCACGACAGTGAGATCCCTGGGGGAGGCCCAGATGGCATATTCCTGGCCAGCTCAGGTCAGGCCACACTGAGAGGGACATTTGAGCCACCTACAGACAGTTGCTTTACACAAGCAGCATCCAAAGCCACACAAAGAGCCAAACTTGTCCTAGTGGATGGAAAAGAGCAACAGGGATGTGCTCCTGGGGAACGATTTCCAAGATGCCCTGAGCTGCTCACCTGTGCAGAGAGAAGGGTGAAGAGAGGAAGACTCCAGGCCAGGGCAAGATTGTCCCCAGTTTGAAGAGCTGGCTTCCTGAGCCACTGCTGTGTGACATGACTCCCCCACACATCTCTGGTCCTCATTCAAATGTATCAAATGCGACTTCTCCAACTGAGTGTCCCCAAACTCTGCATGTCTTCAGCCTCACAGACATCTGGGCATGACCCTTCTCATGGTGGGATGAAGAAAAAGGTTGAGATTACAGATCCTGCATTAGTGATGGAGGAGCCCCCTGTTTTAAATCCTCACCTGAGTGTGTTTATTGATTTGAGAGACAGAGGAAGGGGGTAGAGAGAGAGAGACACTAATGTGAAGAAGTAATAACTCATTTACTGTCTCTCACATGATCAAACCTGCAACCTAGTCTGTGCCCTGACCAGAATCAGACCTGCAAGCTTCTGGTGCACAGGATGATGCTCCACCAACTGAGCCACCTGGGCAGGACCTGAGGCAGCCTTTTGCTGATGTCCTGGTGAGCACAGAGAGGTCACACACAATCATATTCCAGTGTGGATGACACTCTGTTAGCTCGGAATCTCTGGAGCCGGAGAAACCTGCTTCCCCTGAGACCCAGGAGGAGAGACGCGGTCCCAGAAACAGGCCGCAGTGGGCGCAGGCAGGTGGAATGGAAACTCACTCTCTCATGGGGGCAGCAGTGTCCTGGGAGGTGCACCTGGGACACGCTCGACCCCGTGATGCACCAGAAGCCTGCAGCCCACACACACCTCTGATCCAGGCCTAGACCCTGGTGGGCATGGGTGAGTTCAACCCCCTCCTTCCTTGTCTATCACACCCCTGTAGGGTTACCCAGCCCTGAGACCTAACTTAGGCCTGTGTAGACATGAGCAGGCTGAAAAGATATTAACAATGGAAAAATAAAATTTTTACTATGGACAATAGGAAAATAGTTGTGCAGCCATGGGTGTTAGGAAAGAGTTGCCCACTGAAAAGTGACGAGTGCCACCTGAGTTAGACTTGGTCCCAGGCAGATAAGCAGTGACAACCACAGGCAGAAAGAGCACAGGGAGGTTTCTGTCTCACTTCCCCGTGACTCTGGAGCACCGTGTAAGTATTACTGCTGCCCCATGCAGCACAGTAATAGTCGGCCTCGTCCTCAGGCTGCAGCCCCGAGATGACCAAATGTGCTGCGTTGGCTGAGGTGTCTTTGGATCCAGAGACCCGACTGGGGACCCCAGGTCCCAGCTGCTTGTCCGAGTCTGAGTAGTAGTACAGGAAAAACCGGGGAGCGCTCCCTGGCTTCTGCTGGTACCAGTACATGTTTTTACCACCAACACTGAGGTCTCTGCTGAGGGTGCAGGTGAGTCTGGCTGTGGCTCCAGGAGATGCAGACACAGAGGGCGGCTGAGTCAGCACAGACTGGGACAGGGAACCTGCAGAAACACTTGAGAGTGAACAGAAGGGTCAAGGTGAAGGCACTGCAGGTCTCTGGGGACCGTCCCTACCTGTGCAGTGACAGAGCAACACCAGGAGCACGGGGGCCCAGGCCATGGTGAGCAGGCTGCTCCTCAGTCCACACAGCTGGGGCTGGGCTGCCCAGGCCCCTCTTATCCCCTCCCAGCTGGCTCCATGGAGGAGGGGCTGCTCATGCAAATGAGTCCCCATCCCCTGCCTTTTTCCCCAGGTTCACCCACAACTTCTGGAGCCCTTCCTAGTGGAAGCCAGCCTGACACACTAGTTACCCCCTGGGTAAGGCTGGGAAGGAAGTAGTGGTTGGAACCACAAGGAGGGCCACCTACAGGGGAGTGAACTGGGCCCTGTCCTCACAGGAATCAAAGTGCCCAGCTCTGAGGGCTCCTGTCCCTGGAGGGCTGTCTACTCAGGAGCTCCTGTTTTTGCAGAGATGGTCTCATGGCGCCCTCTGCTGCTCTAGGGGCAAACAGCTCTTCTTTCAAGCTGATCCAACACTTAGACTTCACAGGAGCTTGTCTCATTGGCTCCTGTGTTTCCAACACGTAAGAGTCCTTGGTACAGAGGACAAGAGTCATTCTTACACTGGATGGTGTGGGCCAGTCCCGGTGTGACCATCATGGATTCTGGCACATGTGACTCCTGACCCAGGAGAGCCTGAGGACTGCTGGGGAGTGAGGTGACATGAGTGGAACAGAGAGCAGGGTGGCTGTGGGACCGGGGACCAGGTCAGAGCCTGTATCACTGCAGCAGGAGGACCCTGGGACCCTGGCCGAGTAGGTTGGAAGGGGGCTCCCGAGGATTCACCGAGCCCGAGGGCTCCCTGATGTCTCCCACAGGAGTCAACTGGTAAGATTGTGGGCGTCTTACAGAGCCTGTCCCTCAAGCATGTGTCTAAGGCAAGGCAGGAAGTATCCCCATGGATGCAGGAACTGAGAAGAGAAGTCACGGCCCCTGTCCTGTGGCTGGGACACAGCAGGACAGGCCCAGGTGGGGGCCCTGGAAGTGCACCACTCAGACCTCCTTCCCAGACACCCTGCGGGGCAGCAGAGGCCACCTGCAGTGCCACAGCCTCATTGTGGCTCCAGGCCAAGAGGGGCAGCACAGAGCACAGGGCCCCACCTTTCCTGCTGGAAGCAGTGTCCTCTAAGGGCCCCCACCTGCAGGAGACTTGCAGGCACTCAGCCTGCCTGAGCCGTTCCCAGACCTGGACTGTGGTCAGAGCTCTTCCTGCCCCATCCCTCCTTCTCTCCCCTTCCCGGGAGCAGCCCTGTCCATGATGGCTCTCCCTCCTCCATCCCTTCCCGTCCTTCCTGCACCAGCATTCACACCCTCAAGGTCACTTCTCTAGTCATTTGTTGTCCTCTACTTTTCAGATTGCACAGTAAAGAAATCCCAGGTCAAAGAGAAAAGCAATCCACAAGAAAAATATGGCTCTTCTGTTAATTAATAGAGTGAGTCAATTTGTTCATTCATTCAAAGTACATACTTTAAAAATTGACTTACTGCATGAATGTATATGTACACATATTTGTATGTATACACACATATATTACACATACATGTATTTATGAACATGTACAGATAAATATATACATTCACATACACACAGATGTTTACATTTTATACCACAGGCCCAGCACTGATGTGCTGTGTCTTCTACAAACTCCTCTTAGGTCAGGTTCAAGTCCAGAGCAGTGACAGTCCCTTGGAGGCCTGTCCCTCCTGTGCAGAACCAGGTTCTCTCCTCGTACGCAGTTCTTCCCTGGTGGCCCGAGCTCTCCTCCTTGTGGATGCCCTGCCACCCCGAGGAGCAAGCAGGCTCCTCCGTCCAGGGACTGAGGTGGTTCAAAGGAAGGCCCTGTGTGACTTCCGAGGGGCTGATGTGTGATTCTTTACTGTCCGTCAATGTTCCCACACGCTGAACACAACTGTCATTCCCACGGTTCTTGCAGGGTGACCCTGGGAAGCCTTCCTTCAGGCAGAGAAAGCAGGTTTGCAGGGAACCGAGCAAAACATGTTCCCTGGAGCATTTTGCTTACAAATTGCTGTTGCTTTGAGCTGTGCTTGTTCCCAGTGGAGACTGACTCATGGCAGATATTAGGAGTAACTTTGACAAATGGAGAGTTTGAAAAAATATATGGTTTATTCTCCAGAATGAGTGATGTTGGGGCCTGATTAAAAGTCAGAGAAATTGATCTGCTCTTATCTGAAAAAATACCTGCGCTACATTGTGATTTACTCAGGAAATAACAAAAACAGAAGCAGAATTAAACAATGAAATCATTGTATGCACGGACTAAATTAAAAATGAGAAAATAAGATAAACTGATTTATGTGAGGAGATAAACTCTGGGATGCTACATGCCAGACTCTGAAGTGATCTCAGTCAAGGGAGGGGTGTGGTGTGAAGACCACCTGACTGTCTGTTTGGCGGGTTCTGCATGTGCTTCTCCATGTGGTTGCATGATTTTGACATTGCACATGCACCAGACTGTTTAAATGGATTATGCAAATCTAAGTTTATCACCTAAACATGGTCCATGGGTTGGCTGTAGTTTGGGGTGCATGTCCCAAGCCCCACACCAAGGATGAGCTCGTAGGACAGGGCCACAGCCCCAAAGAAGGGACCACATCACATGGCCACACATTCATTCCATCCCCACAGCCCCCAGCCCTCACTTGGCCACCCCTGGTTTCAATCTAAGTCTCATCTACAGCCCACCTGCACTGGTGTGGCTGAGACTCAAAGTGCAGCTGGTCCCGAGGCACATTCGTCCCCAGGTGGGACCCTGGGAAACCGACAACCAATGTTCACAGAAAACACAGCCCTGGGCCCTGACTGGTGCAGCTCAGTCCTGGGTTGGAACTCAACACATCTTATTCTGGGATACGATTTAACTTATTTTGTTAGGTAAGAATAACCCTTTCTTCCCAGATTATGTTATTTCAATATATTAAAAAATTTAAGAATACACTAAAATTGCTTTTAAATAGTCTGAAAAATAACCACCTATAATATGAAAAAATGTGTTTTCTTTTTTAAAATTTTTGTTGCTCTCAATTAGGTGAAACTAATTTCACCTCAGACCTTAGATTCCATATAGAAGTTATTCTATATTTGGAACATAAGGTCATTGAATTCTACTCTTTCTGGACAACTTCCTCCCGACTCGTCCATGATATTATTACTTTCCTCACAGGGAAATGGGAGATAAGGCAGACCCCATCCCTCACTGTTTCTCTGTGGGGGGTGGTCATCAGGCTGCCTTGAGGGCACAGGAGTCTGGTCATGTGATCCCCACGTCAAGGAACCACATTTGTCCCCTGGCTGGTGAAAGCGGGAGCTATGTCTCGGTTCCCCATCTGGGTCCCCCTGCCTGTCGTGCTCCGCTGTAGGGCGGTGAGCAGTGGGTCGGCCTCTCCTTCAGGCTGGGCTCTGGGGAGGGTCAGCGCAGCTTCGCCTCAGAAGAAAGAGTCTGAGAAGCAGGCAGGGCTTCGGGGCAGTTTATTGCTTGTGCCATGAATCAATTTTCCGGGGACTTGGACAAACTCCTGCTTGACCACCTGCGAACAGCAACCATTGGTGATGGCTCCTGTGCTGGAGCCACAGGTGAGAGTGATCATCTTTCCTGGGGACACAGTGAGAGCTGGAGAGGAACCACAGCCTGAGAATGTTACCCTTAAATGAAAAGAGACACAGGTCAGGAATGAAGGATCAAAGCACAGGGATCCTGCCAAAAGCTCCCTTCGGGCAGTGAGTGAGGAAAGGGAGGAGGAGCCAGGTGAAAGCACAGACTTTACACAGTCCTTTGGCCTCAGGCTGATGCTGGTCTCTCAGGTGTCCCTCTCCCTCCTCCCCTAGTCTCTGGGGTAAAGGGTGTTTGATGGGGCATTATGCAAATATAAGCCCACAAACACCCTCATTCTGGGTCCTCTGCCCAGTTTGTAGCCTCACTGTCAGGAGGCGGATGGGATGGTTGTGAGCTCCGAGTCCATCCCTTGAGAGGAAGCACCTGCTGTCATCTCTAACTCAGGCCAGTGAGCAGGAGGCAGGGCCCATCAGTTAGAATCATTGCAGTTTGTTTCAGGCCTTGCAACTCTGAGAAGGTCCATGTCGCCCCCTGGTGACCTTTTACATATAATGTCCATGGTAGGAATTGAGCAGAACATGGGGATAGTGGGATAGGGTTGGGTTTTCACGCAGTCCCTTCCTCCCTTCCCTCCTTCTTTCCTGTCCACCCATGTTCCTGACAGCCAACTCCATGCCAACAAAGATCACCAGTTTGGGGTGTGGTCAAGAGGGAAACTTTACTCAGTACCAACAAGAGCGATACAGCATGGCTATGGAAACAGCGCTGCTGTGGAGATGCCCAAGGGAGACTCAGCAGAGCTGTGGAAACAGTGGGGTGCAGAACAGCTCTGGGACCAGGGGGCCCTGGGCCAGGCCCCTCTGGCTAGTTAGCTCTGCTCGGTTCCTCTATGTTCCCTGCTTTGTGCCACCCTGGTTACTCCACTCTGCACTGGTTGGCTCCACTCTGCTGTGGGGAGACCACTTCTGTGTTTCAGCTCAGCCATGCAAACAGTCTTCATTCTTCAGTGTCATGTGCACTCACTGAGCCACACAGAGTCTAGCTCATCTGAACAGAAGTCTACAATCCGTAGTCCCTGATTGGTCCATTGTTATAAAAATGAGGGTGCCAAATTCTTGCAGTGTTTTTGGCCCAAAAGGCACTGCCCTGACTGGTCAGAATAGAGCTGCTGTGAGTGGGTGTGGAAAGCCTCAATCCTATTGTCTGACTGGAATTCCAGGAAACCTTCCTAAGGGCTGGCTCAGATGGCAGCAACGCAGGGAGGCAGGCAGGTTAGCCCAGAAGCAGGCAGTTCAGTAAGAGGTAGTTTGTATAGAGGTTGCCACACACAAAGGCTGCACATTCTTCTGTGTTCACAGCCAATCCAGGAGTCCAACTGTGCCATAAACACTACAGAAAGCAAACACCCCGACAACTACATTATATATATTCTTAACATCATGCATATAATGCTTTCTTTTTCTTTAAATTTAATTTCTATTGACTTAAGCTGAAATTTTCCTCTTAGGATATTTAGGAAGAGAAAAAATCAGGTAAATAGTAATATCACACATTTCTCTCCTCAGGCCCAAGCTGGGAGCCTCGGGGACTCATGCAGTGATACACCCGCAGCCTCTAACCTGTCCCCTCACTGGGGCAGTCAGCCCAGGCATCAGTGGTTCTGGGAGCCAGTTCTAAATACGATGTGTTCTCATGTATAATTACTCCTATGGGCCACAAAAGGCATCTTAATATGTAGTTAAAAAATTCCTTCCAAATTTTGGTTGAACTATGAAATCAAGTCATAATGAATAGGGTTTAATATTTTAAATCTGTTTATTAGTGTTCCTAGATTTTTGAATGGCTACCAGAAAGAGATTGCACCATGAGGTGTTCATCTGACTGAATTTTAAGCAGAAATTCTCAGAAACGATTTTAGACAAATAGCAGAGGAGGTCATTTTCAAACTTTAATGTGTATAAAAATCTCATGGAGGGCTTCTTAGAAAAATTCTCGGACCAAATGCAGGACTCTGTCTCTGTGAGTCTAGTTTGGGGAATTGCATTCCCAGCCAGCCCAACACTAAGGCTTGCACTTCAGTGGGAAATGACATATGAATGTGGTTTGAGCATCAAATCAATAAGAGAAAACCTGGTATTGCCCTTTAAACAGAACAATCATCCAGGGAGTAGAGGGATCTGAGACTCACTGATGATTAATATATTTTGGGGTCCAGATCCTCCCCAGCACCATGTTAGAAAGAAGGGGGAGGAGAAAACCCAGCCTTAAGGGAGTCACAGGGGAGAACTGCGCCCAGGACCCTGGAACAGAAGAGTGGAGACACAGAGCCGTAGATTACTTTTAGTTCCCACAGCGTGTTCTCAGTCAGAGAGAAAAAAGGTGACCCAGGTGCATCCCATAGTCACTACTCCAGTTCCCCTCAGTCAGTCACCTGAGCACTGAGCAAGGAGGGCGAGGAGGAGAGGGGTCCAGGCCATGGTGGAGGTGCCCACACTCTGCTTCTGAGCCCATGAGGGAGAGAAGGGCACAGAGTCTCTCTTATCTTCTCCCCTCCTGGGAGGGTAGAGTTGATCTTCATGCAAATTGTTTCCTCCTCCTGGATCCATGGGGATAAAGCTGGTGAAAGCTGAGAGGGGGTAGCACTGCTGGAGCCTCACAGGAAGAGGAGGTCCTAAGAGGTCACCCAGTGAGCACAGAGCAGAGGGCAGTAGGCTGAGGCCCTGGTTTCCCAGCTGAGATCAGCCATAGACCCTCAGAGATGGGCCCACAGCGCCCCCTGCTGTTTCAGAGTCTAGATGTACTTAGGACTAGAATGGAGAGGCAGGAGCTCAGCAGAGAGAGAGTGAGGACTGGACTGCAGTCCTGCCTGACACACCACCCACCCCCTGGGCAAGGGCTCCTCAATCACCAGGGCCCCTCACTGTGCTGCAGGTGTCCCCATGCCTCACTCCTTCCTCTAAAGACATAACCTTCTCAACAAGAGGTCTTCCTCCTGCTCCTCCTTCCTTTTAGATAATTACATTGTCAGGACCATATAGGTGCCTGAGTCCTCAACTGAACGTGTCCTCCACCCAGAGAATGGACAGGCTGAGGGCATGAAGACCCTTCAACATCCTCTATTTCAGGGAGACTGGCTCCTCTCTCTCTCCTCACACTTTACTTCCCACCATGGCATTCCAGTACCACAAACCTCATCAATTGTCCCATCGTCACCTGGGATGGGGCCTGGGTCCATTGATACGCAGTCACAGGGGACAGCTCCAGGAAGAGACCAGAATCATTCAGAAGTGAGATCTGGTTACTTATTGCTCACCACCCCCCGCCCCCGACAGCATCCACATGAGACGGTCACAGCACTTCCCCCCCCAGGATGCAACCAGGTCCCCACAGGCCCTGAGTGGTCCACCAGGGTGAAGGGGCCCCTTGCACCACATGTGGCCTGCATTGCAGGACAGGGCTGGATCTCTGGGGATGTACAGAAGTGTGGAATTTGCCCCAAAGTGTTTAGTATGATGACACTGACGTCCCCAGTGCCCTGTCTGCGCCTCCCACGCTGCCCACATGCCTCACTCCACACACCTTCTCCAGACCCCACTGTGTAAGAGACTCGTATTCTCCTCACTACAGAAATATCAACACAGCTATGTCCCCAGTGCCTTACCCTAATCAATGTCTGCGGTAATAATGCTATTTTTATGAATTACATACATTTAAATATATATAAACATGTATACATTTTTCATCCAGCCATGTCCACCATCACTTAGTAACATCACAAGTACATACTGTGTTCCTGAGAAGTCTCAGTGCTTCCCTCTGAATAAGTCACAGAAAACACCATGTCACACATCACACAGGGACCACACAGCAATCAAATGGTGCCCATGGCCTTGACAGTTTCTTGTTCCCTTATTGTAGCACCCATTGTCTGGAGAATGATGATGTTTATTTGTGACTCAGTAATTCATTTTAATTTACAAAAAAATAAGTCTGTGAATAGAAATAAAAACACAAATATTAACTTTCCTTAACCCATGGTTCCCACATGTTTGTCCCTCTTGCATACGACCATGGTCATCCAACCACATCCCAACCGGGAACAGGGAGCTGTCCTAGACCATCCACACCCCCACAATGATCTCCCTAGCCAGGCCCTAGGCCAGGATTTTTCCCAAAGAAACCATCTGGAATCTTCTCTCTTGTCTTCATCTTCTCTGTACTCACCTAGATCTGGCCACTATCTTCTCCTCCAGGATGGACAGACAGGCCCTCACCTGTCTCCCTGCCCTGCTCACTGTGTTCTCTCACCAGCTGGAAATGGAGTGAGCAGACACCAGTGTGTGCATGTCACTCCCACTGAGGGTCCTTCCGCGACTATGCTTCTCCTCAGCAGAAGTCATCACGGCAGTCTGGGCCCTGCCTGCCTCTGCAGCTCTCCTGCCGCTTCCTAAGGAGCTCCTCCTGGTGCCTGTCCTCACTCCACTGACCCAATGCACGGCCCAAAGCAACTTTCCCCTTTTATTTGCATGACTGATACCTCCCTCTTTTGGTCAAGATCTGCTACACTGGCCTTACCCCCACACTCCCCAAGAATCCCCTGAACCATTCACTGCTCCAGCTGGGAGAACTGAGGCAGGCAGAAGAGGGTTCTGTCACTGTCTTTATAAATTTAAGCTCCAAAACATGTTTCTAACTATTTGGAGCAGTAAAAAGATCAAAACTGATCCTTATCCAGTATCTCCCAGCATTACTAAGGGGGCAGGAATCCTGTGATACTGGACACAAGCTCATCACCACATGATCCATGTCAATTGCTGCCATAAATAGTGTCCCCCAGACAAGCAGGTAAAACTCAGCTGGCCCGAGCTTCCCAAACTCAGAATCCAGATGGGTGATCATCCTCATTTGGCCTCACCTCCAAATGCAAACTCCCCAATGTTCTGTGGTGTCCCCTCATCAGGCTTCATTGGGGACATTTACAGCAGTGGGCTCGGCAGATGCACAGCCCTCCTGTGCTCTCCTGAGCCTTGTGAGTAGCACATGTGGTTGCAGCCAGAGGCAGCTGGATGGATTTGGGGTCCTGCTCCTAGAGAAGCACTGCACCCCAACCCCAAGAAGCCCTGTCTGTGCTAATGAAGTGGGTGAGAGGTGGTGCAGGGAGACAGGACAGAGGGGAGTCGGCAGCAGTTCAGGGAGACACAGGGCGGGACTCAAACCTGAGTCCATGGCACCTGGAGACTCGAGAGAGTGAGATCCCTGGGGGAGGCCCAGATGGCATCATGGCCAGCTCAGGTCAGGCCACACTGAGAGGAACATTTGAGCCACCTACAGACAGTTGTTTTACACAAGTAGGATCTGAAGCCACACAAAGAGCCACACCTGTCCTAGGGGATGGGAAGGAGGAACAGGGATGTGCTCCCGAGGGGCCATGTCCAGGAGCCCCTGAGCTGCTCACCTGTGCAGAGAGAAGGGTGAAGAGAGGAAGACTCCAGGCCAGGGCAAGATTGTCCCCAGTTTGAATTCCTGAGACACTACTGTGTGACTTAACACCCCCACACATCTCCGGTCCTCATTCAGATGTTTTATCAGATGCACCTTCTCCAGTGTCCCCAAACTCTGCCTGTCTTCAGCCTCACGGACATCTGGGCATGACCCTTCTCACGGTGGGCAGAAGAGAAAGATCAAGATTACAGATGCTGCCTTAGTGATGGCGGAGACCCCTTTTTTCAAATCCTCACCTGAGCAGGTTTATAGATTTGAGGTCAGAGGAAAGGGGGTGGAGAGAATGAGAAAGACACAGAGAGAGAGAGATTGATGTGAGAAACATTGATTGGTTGCCTCATGTACAAACACTCTCGAAACCTATATGTCCCTTGAACGGGAATCAAACCTACAAGCTTTCTGGTGCACAGGTTGATGCTCCCACCAACTGAGCCACCCACAGTGCCCTTTGCTCATATCCTGGTGCCCACGGAAAGGTCACACACAATCATATTTCAGTGTGGATGAGATTCTGTGGGCTCAGCATCCCAGAGCCAGAGAAACCTGCTTCCCCTGAGCCCCGGGAGGAGAGAACAGGTCCCAGAAACAGGCCACAGTGGGCAGAGGCAGATGGCACTGCACTCACTCTTAGAACAGTTTCCTGGGAGGTGGGCCTGGGGCACACTGGACCCCTGAACCATCAGAAGCCCTCAGCCCACCCAGGCCTCTGATCCAGGCCTAGACCCTGGGCTGGGCACAGGAGGGTTCAACCACCTCCTTCCTTGTCTATCACGCCCCTGGAGAGTTATGTAGCCCTGAGACCTGATTTAGGACTGTGTAGACACGAGCAAGCTGAAAAGATATTAACAAGAAAGAAACAAAATTTTTAACTACAGTGAATCAGAAAAAAATCACATGCCCATGAGTCTTGGGAAAACAGTTGCCCACTGAAGAAGTGACAACAAATGACACTCTGAGTAGGACTTGGTCCCAGGCAGATCAGGAGTGACAGCCACAGACAGAAAGATCACAGGGAGGGTTTTAGTCTCACTTCCCCGTGACTCTGGAGCACTGTGTAAGTATTACTGTTTCCATGCCACGTATTACAGTAATAGTCACCCTCATCCTCAGGTTGCAGGTCAGAGATGGTCAGGAGCCCAGCGTTGGCTGAGGTGTCTTTGGATCCAGAGAAGCGGCTGGGGACCCCGGAGCCCTGGTGCTTCTCTGAGTCTGATTTATACCACAGCAGATACCGGGGAGGGCTCCCTGGCTTCTGCTGGTACCAGTGTATGTAGTAGCCACCAACATTGAAGCCACTGCTGAGGGTGCAGGTGAGTCTGGCTGTGGCCCCAGGAGACGCCGAGAGGGAGGGCGGCTGAGTCAGCACAGGCTGGGAGAGGGAACCTGCAAACAAAGACATACTGAATACTTGGTCAAGAAACTGTGCCATTCTACGAATTCTGAGCAAGAGAGGAGAGATACAAAAGGATGAGCAGGGTCCCCAAGGCCTGTCCCTACCTGTGCAGTGAGAGAGGAACACAAGGAGCAGAGGAGTCCAGGCCATGGTGCACACAGCCCCTGAGCCCACAGTGGGGCTGGGCTGCCCAGGCCTCCTTTTCTCCCCACCCTCTGTCAGGGGAGGGGCTGTTCATGCAAATGTGTGTCCATCCAGGGGCTGCCCAGCCCCTCCCTGAGTCCTGTTGCATTACGCAGCTCACACCCCAGACAGAGGAGGATGGAGGTGGCTTCACCCTTTGGGACAGCCCTGGGGGAAGCACCTGCTGAGACAATACAGAAGTCCATGGGACTCTGCCAGGCCTGAGAGGACACAGATTCTGAGTCCCCATCACTGAGCACAAACCCTGTCCCCAGGCCCAGGCTCCTAGGAGTGAAAGGTCCTTCTTTAACAGCTGTGTAGGGACCATAGGGTCATCCCATAGTGCCCCCTGCTGGTGGCAGTGCACACACCTCCCGCAGCCCAGAGCCCTGAGAGCCCAGCTGGTTTCTTCAGCTCACCAGGTCACTGTCTTCACACATCCTGGGTCTCTTCTGTAGGGTAAGTGGAGGCAGTCTGGCTTCCTCACCCAGGGGTCTGAGTAGCTAAGGAAGCAGCGTTCCCATGGCCTTGGAGGCTCTGATAACCAATGTTCTCATAGCCTTGAGCCTGGGTCCGATCAACTCTTGCCATAACATGAAGTGGGCTGACCTGTGCAGAATTCTATTGTGTTATGTAATGTGCTGGCAGTTTCCTGGTTTAGTTCCCGTCTAGTTTTAAACACATAGGAGCTTCTCATTAGAGAGACATGCAGAGACACATGCAGTGAAACAGGTGTCATGATAGGTGCCACCCTGGGGAGCAAGGGCCCTGACATGTGCCATGCAGAGACGTGCAGATAGACCTACACCTCACAGCGTGCGTGGCCCACCCACCCCGAAGACAGGCATCCCAACGGCTCCGTGAGTATTTTTCCATCTGCACGAATACCATGCACTTGTCTAATCTTCTATCTCCCATACCACTCATTCTGCCCCCTCACTAACGATAAAAACACACCCACACACCATGTTCCTTATCAGCAGTATTATAGCATAAATACTATTTATGTCTGCAGTCTCTTGCACAGGACAGCAGTGGCTTCCAACTACTGTCACATAAATGTCCTGTGTTGTCATCTCGGGAATGGTCAGCTAAATGATTGCCGTGCTGAGAGAGGGAAGGGGGAACAGGCCTCCTGTGTTGGGAGTCATGAGGTTCAGAGGTGACACGTGTGAGCAGAAGGAAGTCCAGACCAGCAAACACAGCCTCAGACCATCATTTATCTGCATCCTTCACTCATGTCACAGGGCGGAATTAAGTCTTCATTCACGCAGAGATTTCAAACGTACGGCTCTTCCTCCATGAGTTTCTGCACTTGAGTTCTTTGTGGGACTTTGGGTTGAAAAGTTGATATTACATTTCATTGACCAGATGGTGGACTATGAGCCGTGTGTTAGTCCCAGGTGACAACTGATGATTTCACAGACTGTTATTTCAGTGAAAGATGAGCAGACAATCAAACAACCACCGTGCCCTGGGCAGGTCATGTGCTCATGGGGGTCGTCTTGTCTTCTGTCCTCAGTGTCTGCCCCCCCCACCCGCTGCCCCTGTCTGTGCTCCAGGACCCACCCAGACCTGACCCCAAGGGCCTGAGACCCTGTCCTGTGTCCATTCATCTCTCGGTCTCAGGCTTGAAATATACTTCCTAAGAGAGTAAATGATATAGATGTGAAATATTTTATGGACAATGTGTAAAATTTCAAAATATTAACTGCACACCTACTTTAGCCAAATATTATACCTCACACATTGGGAGTCTGTTCATTTAATTTAATCTTTATTATATTTTTCATTAACATTTAGTCCCCTTATGCCCTCCTCCCTGAAGCAATCATTACCCTGTTGTCCATGCCCATGAGTCCTTCTCCTTTTGGCTCAGCCCCTCCACCCCTAACCTCACCTTCCTCCTACTGCCTGTCCCCCTGCTGGCCTTCACACTGACCGAGAGGAGTTTCCACATGACTGGCTCCCAGGCTCTGACCTCACCTGAGTCTGTGTGACTATTTTCTCAAATAGAATGGAACTTAGAAGCACAGAGAGACAGCACCTTAGTCTCCGTCCAGCTGACTGGCATGAACAGGACTCAAAGGCAAAGGCTGCCTAACAGCTGAGAACACACTCATCTAACCCAGTGGGTCTCAGCCTGGGGTCACTGGGGCCCCTCAAGGCATGTCTGAAAATCTGCAGGTGGTGCCATGGGTCATAACAAGAGGGTGTCACTGTCATCTATGAGCAGCATCCAAAGGATGCGTGTGAGTGTCCCAAATACACAGAGCAGACCTTCCACGAGCACTGACCCACCCCCATTCCACAAAAGCACAGGCTCACACACCCTGCTCTGAACTAACTCACCCTCAGGAATTCATTGTACAGGAAATAGGCAAGCAACCTCCCTGACATGGGAAAAGATGGAAAGAAAATAGAGGGACTCAGAAACCTGCAATCTCTACATAAACTTTCTAGCAGGAGACAGAAAAGAGCACCCTCCTTGATAGGGACAGACTGAGTATAGACCCAGAAAGAGAAGTTCTAGGGGTTTGGGTCTCACTTCCCCCTCAGTCTGCAGCACTGTGTGATTACCACTGCTATCAAAAGACAGACAGTAATAGTCGGCCTCGTCCTCAGGCTGCAGCCCAGAGATGGTCAGGAGTCCTGCATTGGCTGAGGTGTCTTTGGATCCAGAGAAGCGGCTGGGAACCCCAGAGCCCTGGTGCTTTAATGAATCTGTGTAGTAGGACAGGAGAAACCGGGGAGGGCTCCCTGGCTTCTGCTGGTACCAAGATATAACAGAGTTCCCAACACTGAGGTCTCTGCTGAGGGTGCAGGTGAGTCTGGCAGTGGCTCCAGGAGATGCAGACACAGAGGGCGGCTGAGTCACCACAGGCTGGGACAGGGAACCTGCAGAAACACAGACACTTGTCAGTGATGTAGCAGGTACCAGGAAAAGTTACTCAAGTAATGGAGCTTGAAGGGAATATACTTGGGAACTGAGCCCTGGTCCCCGAGGCCTTTCCCTACCTGTGCAGTGAGAGAGGAGCAGGAGGAGGAGAGGGGTCCAGGCCATGGTGCACACAGCCCCTGAGCCCACAGTGGGGCTGGGCTGCCCAGGCCTCCTTTTATTCCCCACCTTCTGCCGGGGGAGGGGCTGTCCATGCAAATGTGTGTCCATCCAGGGGCCGCCCAGCCCCTTCCTGAGCCCTGGTGCTGAAGCTCAGCTCACACCCCAGACAGAGGAGGATGGAGGTTGGCTTCACTCCTTGGGAGCACCTTCTGGGGAACCACACCTTGAGACAACACAAAAGATCCTCCTCAGAGCACCCCACCATGCCAGAGAGGACGCAGCTGTTGAGGGCACATCTGCAAACTCAGGGCCTAGGCCCCAGGCCCAACCTCCTAGGAGTGAATTGTCCCTAATGAGCAGCTTGGTGGGTACCCCATGGCAGTACCACAGCACCCTCTGCTGGTGGCAGTGCCAACTCCTCTTCATGGCCCAGGGTCCCAGAGCCCAGCTGGTTTCTGCAGCTCAGCAGGTCACTAACTCTATTCACACATCCAGTGTCTCGTTCCCAGATACTATGACTCTCGTACTGGTTACTGTGGCATCTCACTCCCAGGGGTTCCCAACTGTGGGAGGTACAAACATACATATAAATGCAAATTTATTGGTTTCATTTTCAAAGAAAACTAATCCCATATCTGATCCAGTCCTTTTCCCAGTCTGGACACTGCTCACCTTAGTTCCTACTGAACCTGCCATGAAGTAGAAGCCAACCCCACCCCACACCATCTGGGCCTCTACCGGGCATGCGCCCAGCAGAGGAACTTCCTCAGGTGTTTCATTCCTCCCTGGGTGATGACCAGTAGCAATCCCTCCTGCCCACTTTGTGGATTTAGAAGGCACCTGGGAAAGGAGGGACGCTGCAGCTTTCTAACAAAGCAGGCCCAGTGTCTGATTCCTCTCCACAGCCCGTTAGGTTCAGCAACGTCTGATTCCATGAGCTCCCTTCCCTTATTAACATCTGGTTACTGATGCTGACAGAACCATGAGGTAAACAGACAGAGAACGCAGAGATGGACACGTACAAGGAGAGACAGAGACAGAGGGAGACAGGGAATGAGCACAGGAGAGAGTGGAAGTGGGGAAGTCAGGCTTCCCGTAACTACACTGAATGACCCCGCATCACTTTGTCCTACTGTGTTCTCAGAAAAAAGTCCCAAAGTCCATCCAGCCTCAAAGAAGAGGGGATCGCACAGGGGTAGAAGAACAGGAGGCGGGAACACTGGGAGCCATCCCGGGGCTCCCCACACACAGGCCACACGAGGTACTAGGCCCTCAGTCTGTCCACACTGGGATCCCTGGACGGTTGCCCACCCGAGGGATGATGTTGCAATTTTGGATGTTTTCAAACTTCCTGTGGCCTGGGAGGCAGGCAGGAAGAGCAGTGAGTTCCCCTCGATCCAGAGCAGACCTGGTCTATTTGCATTGATTTCTGTGTTCCACCAGCCGTCCATGTGTCCCTCCATGTGCCCCTCCCACTGCTGAGTCTGTGCCTGAGTCCCGTGGATCCGGTCCCGAGGTGACAGGCACCTCAGGTGTATATAAGCACCACACACCTGAGGACACAGTAGGAGGAAGATGCCGGAAAGGTCCCAGTCACAGACTGGGAGACTAAGGCTTCTTGAGAAGATATAACTGGGTTAGGGTCCCCTCACTGGTGAGAAGGAGGAGCCTGAGGCCAGGTCAGTGTCCTCAAAGCTGAGGCCCTGGCTGCACCCAGGACACCCATGGCTGGGGGTGGGTGTGTCAGTGTATCAGTGTGTGGACAGCAGTGGTGGAGCTGCGTGTGGCATGGGTGCTGGGTGAGCAGTGGGCCGCCCAGAGGGACCCTTGGGGAACTTTTATTCTAGGAGCAAGCACAGGTGGGGACCTAAAGCAGTGATCTCACTTCTGGTGATGGAGCAAAACAGAACTTGGGACCCTGGTGACCAGGCAGCCACACTCTGGAGGAGCATCTCCTCAGCTCATTGAGTTGCAGATGCTCCAGAAACAAGACATTCACTTGTTTTGTCCCCAGTGTGGGAGGCACCGGCCTCAGGAAATCACACAATGACAGTGTCCTGACACTTCACAATTGTTGTCAGATAAGATGCCTCTGATCCTTTCCCAAGAAACTCAGAGATGACCCAGAGAGACTCAGGTGGTCCAGTTTCCGCTAGAGCACCACTCAGATGTTACCTGGACAGCCCTCTGTCCCCTCTGTGTTCTGTGTGTGGAGGGTGAAGAGTTCTTGTGGGCCGGGCCCACACCCACCCCCCACAAATGCAGCCTGAGGGGGACCAGAGCCTGGTGTGGTGGTCACATTCATCCCCCAGGTCAAGGCTGGCAGGATGTGTGGTGTGGGGAGTCTTCTGACTGCAGTTCACTCTGGTGAAGTTCACCTCACAGGAGGTGAACTTCCTGTCCCAGGGGTACAGTTGTGGGGAGACACAGGCTTAGCTGATGCGGGAGAGGAGAGTAAAATCGGTAGGAGGAGCCCCATGGAGGGCCTGGGGGGCTTCCAAGGCCTTAAGAGCAGCTCTTGATCACTGTCATTGCAGACGTGCCCTCAGGATACAGGGAATTTGGTTTCACCTTCTGTGTGAAACCAAATGACAGTGATGTGGCCCAACACATGAGCAGTGAGCTTCCTGTCCAACCTTACAGATGATGGACAGCTGATCCCGTCTGAAGGGCTCACAGGGGCTGCTCAGGGAACCAGCACAAAAAAGTAGTTTCCCAGGAAAACGCTCAGTGACATGTTCAAAGGAGAGCAACACAGCAAACATTTTAATTCATGGGATGCATGTACAGTTTTTATGGAGGTCTGATTTAATTTAGTAAAAAGTAAAAACGAATGGCTTTGCTGGGCTTCACAAGTACCAGTGAAGAATGTGAAATGCCTCTTTGTTTTAGAAATTGACTTCATATTCTGAAGTTTGCAGGATTCTCTCTATCTGTGTCACATGTTTCTTGTCAAAATTTTGTCTAAGGTGTCCTAAAAGTTGTTTGTATTTCAAACAAAAATGTCCTGTACTTTCTACTCCCTGTGTCAGTTTAGTAACAAGCTAAGTGTGAGGTTGCGCTGCGTTTGCAGACGTGCTGCGTGTCTGCACAGTGCAGTGCAGGGTCCCCCTTCCCTCTGGGCCCTGTGGGCAGCTCTGCTCCACTGTGCTAACGGGGCCACCGTCCCCACACTTCTGGACCCACGGGCCTTCCAGTAATGGTTACTACGACCAGGAACCCCAGGTCCCTAAGGCCCTCCCTCCTCCAGACACCCAGAGGGATCTTTCCCATTTATCAGGCAGGTGCTCCCTGCTTACAAAGATCATGAATCCTCTCACTGCTGGTTGAACAAAGCACTGTCTCCTCCAAGGAGAATCCAAAGCAGTTTGGTCACTTGAGCAAGGACGATCCTGTGTTGGAGGTGCCCATGGAGACAGAGCCTGAGGTCTCAGAGGCCCTTTATCCTGGACTGGTACCGTGTGTGGGTTTTGTGAGGGGGGTTGACCCCACAGGAGGTAGTTCTGCCGCTTCAGTGATGCGGGGGCTGCAGTACAGTGAACATTGTGTAGATAACACACAGGCCCCAGGCAGATGTCAAGATGGGCTTTTCTCATTGATGAGGACCAGCTCAGGAGGAAGGAACCGCCCTCTGCTAGGGCAGAGCCTTCGGAGTAGAAGATTCAGCACTTGGCAGATGGGCCCCTGATGCAGCTGCATCCCAGAGGCAGGGGACAAGCAGGTGGCAACAAGAAGGTAATTCTGCTAGGGCCCAGGACATCCAAGTCCCATCTCACAAAGACCAACTCGTTCTAGAATTTTCTCTGCCCCTACATACAGGGGAGCACCAGAATAGAGGGTGAACCTCATGGTACCCACTGCAGCCTTTGCAGGTTATGGGCTCTGGGAACTGAAGGATGACAAGGTCTTCACATTTCTGTCCACACAGAGATGGTTTCCATCTCTGAGGGTCACTGTCAGGATTATATTTCATGTCCCAGAGTGGTGTTGCCAAGGCGGGTCCTGATGCTGTCTCTACTGTGACCCTGGACAGGGCGGGGGTCCTCCTAGGGGGCCCAGTGGAGCCCCTGAGCCATAAGACTTCACTAGAGGGGTCATCGGAGTGTCATTGACCTTCAGGTTGACATTAGAGTGAGTGAAGAAAAAGCTCTCAGATTCTGGCTACAGTGAGATTCCATTAGTTTGTGTTTTTTTTAATCTCTTCATACTTATTTGTTAAAATATTGGCAGACTATTTACCATATGATAAAGAGAAAATGAATCAAGAGTGAGAAATGGAGAATTCTCCCATGTACAAAGAAAATGAAAAAGACACGTAAGAAACAACACGTCCCATCATAATAGTCTCAGGTGTAGAGGAAGGAGACCTCACCAACACTACCTCTAGGTCGCACACCAAATTCACATTCAAATGGCAGATTAGAACAACTACTAATTTTTAGTAGAAATTGATAATGTAGAAAATTTAAATTAAATGAGGATAACATTAAACAAGCATGGAAGCTGCTGGCACAGGGTGGCTGTGAGAGGCAGCCTCGTCCTCAGCTCTGAGCCCAGTGAGGGTCCAGGAGCCTGAGCTGCCAGAGCTGATCCTGAAAATGGATCATGGGCCACACAGGGTGGAGGCCATGCAAGTGATGGGGAGCAGAGGCTGAGTGGGGACATGTTGGTGACAGCACACACACGGGACCTTCCTGACGTGCACTGATGCAGACACAGCCGGGTTCCGTGTCCCTGCTTCTTCCTGACCCATCACAGACTCTGTTTTCAGCACAGCCTCCCCCTGAAATACAGGGACTTCCCCAAATTTGAGAAAACTACACACTGTGTTGTTGCCACTGACAGGCCTCAGAGGCAGCGTTCAAAGGATAGACAGATGTTCCTGTCACAGTCCCCTGTGGTGGGTCTCAGACCTGAGTTCAGGCCAGGCAAAGTGAGAAAGCAGCTGTCTTCTCAGAACAGTGGGGACTGTACCGGGGAAGCGCACTGCAGGGGACAGCAGGTTTTTGTCTCACTTCCCCACGGCCCTGCAGAACTGTGAGAGCACTGATACTGTTGTCCCATGCTGAGCAGTAATAATCGGCCTCGTCCTCAGCCTGGAGCCCAGTGATGGTCAGGGTGCCGATGCTGCCAGACCTGGATCCAGAGAATCGTTCGGGGATCCCCGAGGGTCTGCTGCTAGTACCATAGATCACGGTTTTAGGGGGTATTCCTGGGAACTGTTGGTACCAGTACACATTATAACCACCCCCGATGTTGGAGCTGCTTCCAGTGCAGGAGATGGTGATGGTCTGTCCTGGGTTTCCAGACACTGAGGGAGGCTGAGTCAGCACAGCCTGGGCCCAGGACCCTGCAGGAGGGAGACACAGACATGGTGATTCTGGGTAGAGACACAGGATCAGGAAGAAGACCCCCAAGTGTCCTTTCCAGGGCTCTTCCCCTGTCCTCTTATCCAGTCACCTGTGCAGTGAGCCAGGAGGGTGAGCAGGAGAGGGGACCAGACCATGGTGGAGACCATCCCTGAGTCCTGCCTTCTGTGGCCCCACAGCTGAAGCAGAGCCTCCCCAAACCTCACCCTTCCCCTCTTCATACTCTGGGAGAGGGAGGGCCCACTCATGCAAATAAGTTCCTCCCAATTTCTGATCCTTCATTGGGCCCTCTAGCAGGTACCTGTGCCTGGGGATTTCAGGGAGGATAGGGGTGAGCCTGGTTGTGGGCCAGGGCGTGGCAGGGTCACAGCTTTGTGCCCTGAGCAGAGGGCACAAGGCAGTGCCAAGTCACAGGTCCCAGCCCTGATTACCCCAGACCTTCAGAAACAGCCCCCGAGCGCCCCCTGGTGCCCAGACACAGACACACTATCGTGTGACATGCTGGCTGAGGCCCATCACAGACAGATTTTGCCTCCCCACAGCCCTGTTCCCTGACCTGCTCCATTTGGGGCGGTCCCGGTGCCCCCTTATGTGGGGTCCCTGTCACTACAGGACACTTTCATGTCCTATTCAGACTCCTCAGGGTGAGTCACTCCATGTGTCCCTCGGCTGCTACATGGTCAGCATTGCTCTGCTGCTTTCACTCACGTCATCTTCCCTATAGTGGGATCAGGCCCAGTGACTGTTCCATGGCAGTGTAAGACCTATTTTCAGGACACTTTTATTTTTTACTGTGATTCCTCTCTTGTTAGAAATGAATCACTATTTCTCCAAGGCACAAAATGTATACATTCTTTCAATGTCTTTCCTTTTTTTTCAGCAGACAATAAGTATGTTTTCATGCATATAACTTTGGCCAAGCTTTACCTATTCTCTGGTGTGTGGGGCTTTGCCAGCAGAGCCCTCCCATCCACTGTGGATGAGAATAAGTCCACCAGACATCACCTGCTTGGGGAGGAATGGTGGCCCATCTCTGAAAGGAAAAGGACCAGGAGCCTGTTCCCCAATGGGCTTTTATTGGGTTGATTTGCACAGAAATACAGGGTATCTAGGTAAAGCTCATCAATCATTGTCAGGCAATATGATCAAACAATAGATAACAGTCAAAGAACTATGGGGAGATAGCTAATGGGCCATAAAACTTTGGAGAATCTCCTTCTACACTTGGACCCTTATCATTTAAAAAGAGGGTATTAGCAAAGCAGGTTTCATAGCATTTTATGCATTCTTCCTTAGGCCTGACCTCCCTGGGGAACCCACCCTTTTGAGCACAGGGCCACACCCATCTCTGGCATTGTTTCAGGCTTCAGTCGGGTAGGGGAACTAAGACAGCCAAGAGACTAGGAGACTTCTCGCAGACAGAAAAACGACTCAGGCTATGTCAAAGCCAAGGGGTGAGGGTCCATCACCATTTTTTTCTCTACCCCCAAGCCCTTCCCTGAGGGCCCCTTCCTGACCACGCCTGTCCTAGGTCTTCCTTCTTTTGAGGAATCTTACCCATCATTGGCTAACCAGTCATCCCCCCAGGGCCAGGAGGGTGAGGTGAAAGGGGGCAGGGGCGATGCCCCTGCCAGGGAGATAAGCTTTCTCTCCCTAATGGTCCCACCATGACAAAAGCTTATGGGACATAAGCTTATGGTCCCAAAATCCTTTACTCAGCCTTAGTCATGAGGGATTACAGCTTGTGAAATTAGGCAGGGCCCTTTCCAAAAACCTGGTATCTTCATTATGTTATAAATTGAATAAGTAATGCACTCTGGTCCCATGTATATTTGAATTAGAGCTGGATATCAATTATTTTAGTCAGGCTCACACTGATCCCATTTCCCTTGTTGGCCTTTTCCTAACCTGGTCCTGGCAGGACCAGACCACAGTGCCCACTGCTGGTCTCTGAACTAGGGCCCGACAGCCCCTGGACCACACCCCACACTCCTGCAGGGCAACCTGACTTGGCACTGGGGCCCTTGGGGTGTGACTGCCAGGAATAGAAGGATGAGTGGGTTTCTCCATGGGTTGGGAACTAAGACATTATTGTCTCCTGATAACCAATGACTTCTGGGTGGCTACATGCAGGACGCATTCACCGTGTTTCTGTTGCCAGATATTTCCAGTTCTCTTGACATGTCCTCTTCCTCCTTCTGCTTGTGTGATGCCATTTCACATATAAGAACTTCTTAATCCAAGTTCAAGGCTCAAAACCTTCACTGCACTTTGCTGGTTCACACTGACAGAAAGTCTATGGAATTTACACTAATTCGATGACATTGTGTTGTTGGTGTGTGTTGGAGACACTGCTGTTCGAGTCCCACCCCCACTGCCCAGGTACTGCTGGTTGTGTCCCTCTTGGTCACTACAATCAACACTGTCAGAGAGAAAGTGTCCTCCTGCTCTCCACTCCAGCCTGTCATGTCCCCTTCAGTGCTATTCTGATACTTCTTTCTTTCCTCTTTTGCCTATATTATATATTTATGATGCTTTTCCCTGTACCCTTTTTCAGTCTAATCTTAAAATTATGTTCATTCTAAAGATTGAAATCAACACCTTTACTATGAACATCTCTTTTGTGATTATTGCTTCTCCTTTTCAATGTAATGGCCTCATTCCACACTGAGTCATAATCAACTTGTGCAAAAATTTCTTCAATGTTGACCTTGAAGGAAAACCAGAGCTTTCTTGAAATTTTCTTGTGTTTTTGATAATTGATGGAACTTAGGGTTGTCTCATAAGCTTTAGATGCCAATAAACTGAAATGTTTTGAAAAACCTTTAAATAATTAAGATTTGTGTTATTAAACTGGGTGCTGGTAAAAGTTATGAGCTTGCCACTCAGGGCCTTAAAGAGACGGGGGTCCCTCCTGTGCCTGAGAAACCAGAAGTTACTGAAGGATGTGATCTCAGGAGAAAGTGGATGCTCTGCTATGTGCAGATGTCAGAGCTCAAGGACTCATCAGCACATCCTGGGCCAGGCTCAGGGCACAGATATGGGACTGGGCTGTGGGGTCCTGAAACACCTGGCTCTCACAAGCAGGGATTGTCTCTGCCATTCCCAGTCAGCATGAGAGTGGAGATACTGTAGCTTCTGGTGACAAAGAAATGTTCTTTGCATTGGACGAGCAGGAAGGACAGGAGTGATTTTTGTGGCATCCTAAAGGTGGAGTGACTCAGAAGCATCAGTCCCTGTAGCTTCACTAGCACAGGGACAGAGAATCCAAACCAGAGCTGGTGCTGCCCACAGGCAGGGGAAGATATGTGGGGGTTGTAATGAGGGAAATGGAGGACAGATGTTCTAGCACTTTCCATGGACTGCCTGTTCCTCGGTCACTGGGTTGTATTCAGCTCCTTTGACTGTGACCACCAGCCTGGTTCCTCCTCAGGCTGCAGCCCTGTGTGGTCATGGAGGGTGTGTGCACTGACCTGACTCTTGAGAATCAGGGTGACACTGGAGAGGGTTTGCCATGCGTCCGAGGTCATGCACTTAGGGGCTTTGTCTGGGGGTCTGGGCCCGTGTCAGAGATGCCCACAGTGACTCTGCTGCCCCCCTGGTGAGAGCTTCCACAGGACGTTCCTGGTTGGAGTCTCCTGGTGCACACCCTGGGGAGGCTGTGCTCCCTGATATTACAACGTCCACCTGTGAACTTGTGTTGGTTAAAAGCTACAATGGGATATGAGGAGAACGTAAGACAAACTCCAGTTCTTGCGGACTCTGGAAACACCCCTCACGTCAATTCTTATGGATTCTTGGAGATATGAGCTGTAGAAATTTTACATCCAGGGACCCAGTTCACCCACCTTCCTGGAGCAGGCTCATGGTTTTCCCACAACACTAGGACCTCACCTTCATCCTCTCATGTCCCATATAGGAGTTTCATGTCCTCAGGCCCTCAGTCTGCACACCTGTTCTTGCCTGACACCCTTCTCCCTGACATCACAACTCAGGTACCCGCGTAAGTGGCAGAACAGCTCTGGGCCTGGATTCCTCCCAGACCTGCATCTTCACACAGCACCTGCAGTGCCTTGTCTCAGGGACTCAGGGTGCCTCAGGTCAATGGAAGGAATGGGACGGCTCTGCTATGACCCCTAGATTTGATTCCTTAACCTCAGACCAAGTTCTTATGCTGCCCCAGGCCTCCCTTCCTTCCCACCTTCTGCCACAGGCTGGGCCATCCAAGAAAATATGTGTCCATCCAGGGACTGCCCAGCCCCTCCCTGAGTCCTCCTGTGAGCCCAGAGCTCAGCTCACACCAAACACTGAGGAGGGTGGAGGTTGACTTCACCGCTTGGGAGAGGCCTGGGATGAAGCACCTGCTGAGACCACACACAGATTCCTCCTCAGGGGACTCTGCCAGGCCACAGAGGACACAGATGCTGAGTATCCAGCAGTGAGCACAGAGCCCAGCCTGCAAACCCAGGCCCCACTGAGTGAACAGTCCTCCCTGAGCAGCTGGCAAGGGACCACAGCAAAGACCCACAGCGCCCCCTGGTGTTCGCAGGACACACATCTCTATGTTCCTTAAAGGCCTTTGGAGCCCAGCTGGTCCCTGCAGCTCAGCAGGTCATTGACTGTACCCCCATGTCTATGATGGGACTCCCCAATACTGTGATTTTAATGACTGTGTAAAGTCAGAGCACAGTCCCTAATTCCAGGATGAAGGCCCCGCCTATGCTTCATTCCTGATTGCTGAGATACACATGCCTCTCAAACCCCTAAGACACTGTCATTCTCAATGCTTTGCACACACTGTGTTCCCCAGTCCCACACCTCCCTGTCCCACTCCTGGTGGTTACGGGTTCGTTCCCCTCTACACTCTCCAGGACCACTCAGGTTCCCGTGTCTGCTGCTAGAATTGGTCCTCACTTTGTTGTATTCTTTGCATAATTACCAGTTATGTTTCACATATACACATCTGGTGAGGCCCCTCTCTGATGATAAATCTCTCATACATACTGTCTCTATAATAATTAAGTGGAAATCTTTAGTGTCTCATTCAAGGTATTTGGGTCAGGTCAGCACAGGGTCCCATCTCCTCCCTCCCATCTCCCATCTGTAGCCTGTGAACAAGCACACGTGGACCCTGGAGGCTAAACTGAAACTTACCTCTGGACCCTTTTGGGTTAAATACTTGTCCGACCCTCCCGTCCCCCAGTTTCTAGCACTGTCCTTACAGGACACACGAGCAACCCTTCACCCTACTGCACATCCAGAAAGTGTCAGCTTAGACCTACTGGGGGATGACTCTCTGCCGTCCAGCAAGGCAGGAGCAGTTCTGAAAGAGCTCACAGCAGGGCACCCCTGCATCTGCTGGTGTCACCGCTGGTTCTGTTTGGACCCTGTACCTTCTGATGTAAGTCCCAGAAAAATGTGCTACAGAAATCCGATTGGCCTGTTTTCCTGAGGGGGGTGGGATTGCAAGATGCCGTGCTTGAGAAGAACCACAGGCTCAGCTGGTAGAGCTGGTCTTAAGCTACAAGGATGCTCACTGTTCTCTTCTTCCACTTCCCATTCTGGATGTCCCGCCCCTTTGCTTAGCACCTGCTCCAGATTTCTACCTGGTAACAGGTATCAGAAATCAGTTCCGTGTGCCCATGTGCTCCAAACCCATGTCCTTCTCAAGATGTGGGCTACTTTTTATTATATTATGTTTCACTCAAGCATTTCTCTTTATATATAATAGCTGTATAATATCACTAATTTTCTCCTCAAATTAAAAGCCAATGTGAGAGACTACAAGCATTTATTTGGGATGAAGGATAATTGCAGGGCTGGGACATAGTTTCATGCAGAAAACCACAGTGTGTCCAATTATAGGATGAAGGCAGGTAAACCACTGCCTTTACCCCAACACTGCCTTCACCCCATATGGGGAGAAAACAATTACATAAATAGAAGGAACGTGTTTCTGTGGAAGTATTTTAATGAGCCTACAAAGAAATTTCTACAGTGAAAATAAGCGAAGTTGTTCTTTAAATAAACACAGTGGAGCCCTTTCTAAAGAACGTCTTGAATTGTGAGCCCTGTAGTCGGTCTGTCTGCTCTCCCCATAGCTGTGCAAACAGTTGTCTGGAACAGGCAGCGGCTTTGACCCAGAACAGAGTCTAGGCATTCCTGCCCTCTAGCACCACAGAGGCTGGAGAAGGAAGATGGGCAAGGACACTCCTCTGGGAGGCGGCTCCAGCTCCATCTCCCAGTGTCTCTGCCTCCTCTGCTTCTTCACACCAGATTATGAAGTGGGTCTTGGTTGTTAAATGCTGGCCAAGTCATCTTTACACCTGATTGTCTGTGTGAGCTATTGTCCACGTGGGAGTGACCTTTCCTTTTCTGTCCTGTCCATTACCTGTGAAATTGTTGATGACATTTGCTCCTGTTTTAAAGAGGACTTTGTCTTCCTGAAAAGGTGGGTTAAAACAAGTCACAGCTTAGAAATGTTGATCCCATTGCACCCCACTGGGCCTTGGAGAACAAGCCTTCTTTTTTTTTTAATAAATGACCTCTTTCCTTTTTTAAAATATTTTATTTATTTAATTTATTTATCTTTAGAGGGGAAGGGAAGGAGAGAGGGAGAGAAACATCAATGTATGGTTGCCTTTCGTGCGTCCCCTGCTGGGAACTGGCCTGCAGGGAACCGGCCTGCAACCCAGGCATGTGCCCTGACTGGGAATCGAACCACGATTGTCTGGTTCACAGGCCCGTGCTCAATCCACTGAGCTACACCAGCCAGGGCGGGAACAAGCCTTCTGAGCCCACATTGGCTAGACCAGCCTCTGTGAGCAGGAGGTGGGGGAATGGGAGGAGCAGAGGGTGCACTGAGCCCTGGGTTTTTGTCTCACTTCCCCCCTGCCTGTGTCATTGTGGTAATGGTTGCTGTACCACACAGCACAGTAGTACTCGGCCTCGTCCTCAGGCTGGGCCCCTGACAGGGTCAGGGCAGCGTTGCCCCCGACGATGGAGCCTGAGAACCGGGCAGGGGTCCAGGAGTATTTACCATTTGTATCACGAATCAGTGTTACTGGGACTTGGTCAGACTTCTGCTGGACCCAGTATGGATAGTGACTGCTGGTGATGGCTCCAGTGCTGGAGGCACAAGTGAGAGTGACTGTCCCTCCTGGAGACACAGTCAGGGAGGGCTCCTGAGTCACCACAGCCTGAGACCTGGATCCTGAAATGAAAACAGACTCATGTCAGGAATGAAGAGTAAAGGCAGAGGGGTCCCTGCAAAGTCTGGTCTCTGAAGCGTCCACAGACCTGGGCAGAGGGTGAGGAGGGGGAGCAGGAGGAGAGGAGTCCAGGCCATGGTGGGCACTTTCCCAATCCCCTGGCCTCAGGCTGGGGCTGCTCTCTGGGTGTCCCTTTATCTCCTCCTCTGCCCTGGGTGAGGGGTGTGTTTGGTGGGGCATTATGCAAATAGGAGCCCAGAGCACCATCTAATTCTGGGTCATCAGGACAGTTCTCAGCTTTCCTGTGAGCAGAATGCAGTGGTTGTGTGAGCTTTCAGTCTGTCCCTTGAGGGGAAGCAGCTGCTGTTAATCACGTCTAACTCAGGCCATGAACAGGGGCACAGGGCCCTTTCCATTAGAGACATTCGAGTTGGTGTCAGCCATGCACCTCTGAAAGGACCCACAGCGCCCCCTGGGGACGTCCTCTGGGGACCATTCATGGTGTTGGGAACTGTTAAAGTAATGGTGGTGAAAGAGAGTGGAAGGATGGAAGGAAGGAAGGAAGGGAGGAAGGAAGGGGAGGGAGGGAGGGAGGGAGGGAGGGAGGGAGGGAGGGAGGGAGGAGGAGGGAGGGAGGGAGGGAGGGAAGCAGAAGGAGGGGAGGGAGGGAGGGAAAAGGAAAAGAAAAAGAGAGAGAGGCAATAGAGGGAAGGAAGGAAGGATGGATGCAAGAAGAGAAAAAAAGTTGACATAGTCCTGATTTGCTGCTGAAAGTGTCCTTTTTCAATTTCACATTTTGTGCCTTTCAGTTCTACGATATAATGTCCATTTCGTTTGTCTGGTGACTCCTATTTAATTTCAGTTTTTCTCTTTTCCCATTTGTCTTGAGAGCACTCATTGTTGCTCTTCACATGGATTTGGGATCATTGCCAAAATAATATCTGTCCCAGTTCCCCCATCGGAATCAAGTCAGTGTTAGTATCAATAGAGTTTTCATTTCTCATTCAAACTTTGACTTTTCTCTTTGCTTTTTCAATATATAATGGTGTGTTTTTACTGGAATCTGGATTTTGGAGACCACAGGAGGATCCCCTGGGTCCCGTTTTCTCTTCCTTTAATCAGCCCGCCCTCCCGTTGGGCTGAGCAGAAGGTCAGGAGGGTGTGTGTTCCGCTCCCACTGACCCGGACAAAGGTGGAGCCCTGACTCCACTGCTCTGTGCTCTGACACCTTGTGGGGACCCTGGGGAAGTGTCTGTCACAAGCTGGTTCCCTTCAAGTGGGGTGTGAGACAAGTGCCCTGCTCTGGCACTGCTGGCCTCAGGGAGGGAAGCACAGGGCTGAGTCAAGGTGCTGGGCTCACTGGGGGTGGGCACTCAGCTCCCCACTGGGACCTTTTGTCCTCACTGACACCAGGGAGCAAGGGGGCAACTGTGGATCTACTCCCCTGCCTCCCACCTCTTCTTCAGTGCTGGTAACACAGGGGAGTCAAGGCTCCTCTCACACTCATCCCACGGTCACCAGCAGGGGGCGCAAAGCTGCAGACTAGCACTGCCTTGCACCTCCTCATTCAGTCATTGCTGAGGGCCCTGGGTTGAATGGAGGTCAGCTTCCCCCTGGGCCACCAGAATCCCAGATGGGAGGCGGGTGTTCACTTTCAACTGTTATTTCTGGTTCTCTGAACAGAGAGCAGTAGGCCTCGTGGTATATTTTGGAAACCATTCCTTCCTTCCCCTTTTAATAAAAATTTTCCTACAGAATAGTCATTTCTTGATTAAGTGTTCGATAAAATTAAGCAAAAAAGTAACGTGAGTTTGGAGATTTAAACCTACATTGATAGTGTACTTAAAATGTGTAATTATGTACCTGGGGTTCAACAGAACCGATTTCTCATTTCATTGGGCAGCAACCACAGGTACAACAAAGCCACGTTTTCAATAGGGGTGATTTCACTTTCAATGTCTGTATCACACTGCATTGAAAATAAATGGCATGCTTATCTTTCAAAGAAAATTATTCCACTGATTTTAGTGAAGATAATGTGTTTTGAGATAAGAGTAGTAGCAGCTGGCAAAATCTATCTTCAATTTTAGTGCACACTTTATCTCATGTGTGGCACTGATGGGTAATAAAATATTTCCTACCACCCGTGGTCCCCTGGCGCTTTCCTGGGAGCAGGTGAACCTGGGAATCTGGGCCACTTCCTGGTCATTGTGACAAGCCTCTCTGAGGAATGTTTTTGGAAGTGGTGATGCAGTGATGTTGTTTGCATTAGGAGTACCAGTCAGAATAGAACATGTGTAGGTTGACCCCATATAGACTGACCCAGGTGAGGACATGAGGTCTCCTGGTGGACAGCACAAGTGACAATTAGAAGTGAAATGTGAGCTGGTGTTGGTTATAGTCAGGGACAGGGCAGTGATGGGTCACCAGGGAGAGGTGGGCAGATGTTTCCCTCATTGCCCTCATGTAATGGGAGTTCTTAGTTGTTTGGGGTTGTATTCACATATGTGGGAGGGGTTATCAGCCTCCTGATTGGGCTGGAGCCCAGAGGTGGGCAAGGAGGTCTTGAGCACCAACAAGGAACCAGAGAAGAGGCTGAACCCCTGAGGGTCAGTGACCTCTGTCCTGAGTCACAAGGTCAGAGACCTGCCTGGAAGCCCTGAGGACCATGAGGTTTGCTGCTCTCTGTGCAGGAGAAGGGATGGTAGACTTGGGCTCATTAAGAGCTTCCAAGGGGAAGTGACCCAGGAACACCCTGAGGATGTCCTGCTCCTGCTGGCCCACAGCCTGGCCCACTCCCTGCAGTGCTGGAAAGTTCCAATTACATCTGAGAGGAGAGGGGACACAGTCAGTACCTGTGGGCTCAGAATAACCACTCACAAATGCCCCATGATCCTGAGTGGTGGCAGCTGTGAGAGCATCTCATCCATGGACCCACTTCACTCACTTGCCCTGCAGCAGGACAAGCGTTTCCACAGCTGCTGTGGAGCCTCCCCCACCACCTGTGATCCAAAGAATTTCCAGGCTTAAGACCCCATATTTCTTCTTGAGGACCCCTCATCCCTCAGTTTCACAAGTGAAGACTCAGGACCCCAGAAAGGCTCACAGCTGCCCCTACCCCTGAAATTCCTCCTGCCCCTAAGTCTCTACCCAGCATCTTACCTCTGAGTTTCCAGTCCCAGAGACATGGTGGCTCTAGGCTGCCCAGAGCTCAGGGTTCTGGTGGGAATGGGACAGTCTCTGCTCTGAGCCCTCAGAGCACAGAGTCTGTGCAGTGAGCAACTGTCCCCTGCTGGGGTGGTCCTGGGCTGTGACCAAGGAGAAAAACCAGGAAGGGCTGTTACCTCATTTCAAGGGAGAGAGGGAAGTTCCTCAGGCCCTGGTTGTATTGCAGATGGATCACAGCACGGAGGTGACAAAGCCCATGGAGCAGAAGCCAGAATCCGAGCTGGGGTGGGGCGCTGGGGAGGAGGCCCTGTCTAAATGTCTCTCCTTTTTCTCCCAAGGCAGCATCTAAGCAGCCCCAAGTGTCAAAGTGAGAGCTGTAAGTTTACAGAGAATAAGAAACTCGACATTGCCATCTTCGTGTTTTTGTCATCATCCTCACCTTTCAGAGTCCCTGAGAGTTCAGTGAGGTGGGGGACATGGCACATGTGCCCTGTGACTTCTCTTAGGAGCCCGGGCAGGGTGCAGTGAGATTAACCCACTTGCCATCCTGGGTCAGTGGAGTCCACACAAGTGCATTTAGGCTGGTCTTTCTGATTTTACATATTGCCTGATCCCTCCTCCGTCACAAAGCCTTCCTTAATTAATGAATTAGATTTGGCTGGTAATGAATCCCTTACATTCAAAGCCTATAATTCTACTTTTACATATTACCTCCCTACAATTAATTCACTTCTGTGCTTACGATGTAAAGGATTTCCTGGTAAATTTCCTGTGTATTTATGCTAGCTTTGCTTATAGTTCATATTTTCTCTGTTTCCAGAAGAATCATGCTGTGTCCCGGCTGTCTATCTTCCTTGAGGGCATGGCAGTGAGGGGGGATGTGGGTGAGCCCCCTGCACCCGGACACTAGGGCAGCTTGACCCATAACCCAGTCCACCTGTGGACTGACTGCCCATTGTGGCCCGGAAGCATCTTGAGGGGGGTGCGCTGTCTCCATGGCGCAGGCCTGGCAGGTTGTCTGGATGAGCCCTGGCTCTGCACCCAGAGGCTCAGTCGCCCAGATCTCCTGATGGCCTAGTGTCCCAACTATCACTCGGTGAGCCGAGATACTTAAATTTGTTAGAAAAAGAAAGTTCTCAGCTTCCAACCTGGAGTCTTAGCAGATGGGACATGTGAACGGCTGCCATAGACCTATAGTTACATTAATCTTCCAAGTGATGTCTCTAGAAATGGGTATGTTTTGTCAATATGTCTGTATTGTCTCTTTTCCATGGTCTGCTTCCAAAATTGCTCTGTAAGCATAAATGTATTTTATAATTTTTACTTCTCAACTCATCTTTGATTTTCCTATCACGCTGTTGCAATAAATGGTTTAACCATTTAGAAAATTACAGTGTTTGCCAGTATACAAGCTAAGTGCAAACCTACACCGAGAGCAGACACAGAAAGGACACTGGAACTGTTCACAAGGGACCAGGGGTGTCTTAACTCAGCCTCAGGAGCAGGCGTTTCTGCAGAGGGAAGTCCCACCGGAAGGTCTTTGGGAGGGAAAAGTCAATCCAAACTAGACAACCGTGTTTTCCCTGGGTGCCCCCTAAGCTTGCTGTGAGGGCCTCCAATGCTGCCCCCACACTCGCCAAGAGACCCAGAGATGCGCGAACAGTCCGTGGCCTGGTTGGGGCCGCTGTGGCCTCCTCCGTAACTGCAGGTGGTGTCAAGACCAGAAGGAAGTGGTACAGATTCCTCTATTTTTTCTGGCCAAGGAAGACTTCGCTATGATCAGACAAGTGGACACCCTGACGGCCTTCATCCTGGAGCCCAAACGTGATTCCAGGTTCTGGTGAGAATGGGAATTGGGGCCTTGAAAAAAACAGCTGATTTTCCAAATTAAAAAAAATGAGAATAATAAATGTGGTCTACTGTGCAGCACCTGGAAGTCACTGTGCTCCCCGGAGGTGGTGCAGGGGTTGGGCGCTGGGCGAGGGTGTCCTGTGCTGCTCTGTGGGGAGATCGTGGGTAGGAGTGTGAGGTGTGTTTGTGAGTCTGCCTATCTCCCCGGGAGTTGTATTCCATTCACACCACCGTGATGTCACCACCAACCTACTGATATAAATTCCATGACAACTGAGCACTTTCTTAAATTAACTCAGACAACACCCCAGCTTCACCTGCAGTTCTGTTTATTTTTCCAGCTCAGCGGATGGAGAGACTGAGGTGCTGGTATCAGTGGTGCAAGCCCTGTGGTTCTTAAAGTGGAACAGCCGCTGTGTGGACATGGCAGTTCCCATGCTCTGAACTACCCACCTGCACGTTCCCTCCATCATGGGATCAGTATTCACCGCACAAGGGTCAAGGATGTGAGGAGGACAAGCCTCACTCCCTGCACTTCACATGTTGCTGGAAGACCATGACCTGCAGAGAGTCCAAGGAGGCCGGCCAGGTGCTGGCACAACCAGCTGTGGTGTGAGCTGTTCAAGAAGTACACACGGCCACGTGTGCACAGTGTGCCCAGGGCAGAGGAACTGGCGCCTGGGAGGATGGAGGTTTGCAGATTGTTGGGTGTTCGCTGGGTCAGGTTCCGACGAAGAGGCTGGCTGGCACCTCCACAGCCTTCGGAAGTTTTGTGCCCAAAATAGCCACTGAGCTCAATGAGCTGCCGGGTTTGTCTGGAGCCCAGAGCAGGGGCTGCCACCCTCACTGCAGCCGCCCCTCCAGGCCTCCTGGTGACACTTCAGAGACTGGAGTGTTTCTCTGGAACTTCTCCCCTGCCCAGCTCTTCCCCCTCCCATCCTACCTGTCTGTGGTCAGAGGGAAGGGGATTATTGCCACTCGTTGAACTCGTTTCTCCAAATCTGTCAGGGACATGGCTGCTCCAGGAAGCTGTTCCACACCCAGATGTTCAGTCGTTGGCAGCCCCCGGGCACAGGGTCGGGTTCTGCATTCTCCAGTCTGAGAAGCATGTGATGATGCAGTGTGTGGGGTTAGTCAGAAACCTGGAATGGGAAAAGGACGTAAGGGAATGGTCAGGGTGACCCCCAATTCCAGTACATGATTAAAGGTGGCTTCGAGTGGCTGGCCTCTCAGAAACTGTGTGACCTTCATTCAGGCAGTAGCATTGCCTGACACTTCAGAAAGAACAATGGGGCACTGCTTTTATTTTATTGGTTTTAGAGAGAGAAGAAGGGAGAGAGGAGAACATCCGTGTCAGAGAGAAACATTGATTGGCTGCCTCCCATGTGGGCAGAGAAGGGGAATGACCCCTGGACCGAAGATTGTATGTGCCCATGCCCACACCGGGGTTTGAATCCCCATTCTGCTTATGTATCTCAATTGGGAATCAAAGCTGCAACCTTTTGGCTACAGGATAACATACCAACCAACTGAGCCCCACCGGCCAGGGCAGGGTTTGTTTTGCCCTGTGTTAAGGCCAACAGGTCCACAGCCGGATGAGGAGGTCCCATGAACAAGCTGTCTTGGGTGTCAGATAGGAGTGGGCATAGTCACCCAAAAAGGCTTAGGGGTCACTTACCTGTGCTCTGAGTTTCCTGATTTAAATTCCAGAGCAGGACCTGCCAGAGTGATCTCTTCACCTTTTTATGACAGATGACAGGAGCATCTTCCTTAGAGCCCTGACCCATCCCTGGGCCCTCCACCAACCCGAGGGGCCCAGGGTGTCCTTGGTGAGCCTGACCTCCCAGCATCCAGCGGGAGGACTCATGGCAGAGACAGCAGCCCGGAGAATGGTGGGCATGAGGGGGAGGGGACTGTACAAAGGAAGGTCCTGTCCCAGGGGTCTGTGTTGACATTTTGGACAGTGAAGAGACGAGTTAAGAAACCATCAGTGGGGTTCCACAGTTTCCAAAGCCTGAGAACTGACCAGGAGTCCCTGCTGCCACAGTGGCACCCGGCCACGCTGGGGATGTAGACGGCATCCCCAGACAGCAGGAGATGGAGGTTGGTTTCACCCCTTGAAAAATCACGTCGTTCAGACAAGATCAGGTACATTCAGGGTAGCATGGCCCTACACAGCATCTGAATTTACCTCAAACACTACTTTGATAGAACATCAGCAGCCCTATGTTCATGGCGGCATTGTTTACAGTCTACAAGATAGGAAGCAGCCTCAGTGTCCCTCAGTAGATGAGTGGATAAAACAACTATGGGACATTTACACAATGGAATACTGCTCTGCGTAAAAATAAAGAAAACTTTACCCTTTACGACAGTGTGGATGGACCTAGAAAATTTGATGCTGTGTGAAATAAGCCAGTCAGAGAAACACAAATACCATATGATTTCACTCCTATGTGGAATCCAAGGAACAAACTGAACTAACAAGGAACATAGAGACAGACTCTTAGATACAGACCAGGGTGACAGCTAAGGGGGGAGGGTCAGAGGGTGGAGGGACTGAGACAAAAAGGAAAATGGACTCATGGACATGGACAACAGTAGGGTGATGGCTGGGGTGGGGGGGTAATTAAAGGAAAATAAATGGTAATAAAAAAAACATATTTTAAAAAAGAAAAAGCATGGGGAGAAAGCACCTCATGAGAGAATATAAACAAAGGTCTTTGCTCACAGGATCTGCCAGGCCAGCGAGGACCCATCACCAGAATAACAGTGAGTTTCCGTCCCTCCCCCAGCCTCAAGCTCCATGAGTAAAGGGTCCTAACTCCGCAGCTGTGCAGGGAGCACAGGGCAGTCCCACAGCGCCCCCTGCTGGTCACAGCACACACTCCTCACCATGGCCTGAAGCCCTAAGAGCCCTGCTGGTCCCTGAAGCTCAGCAGGTTACCCATCATTCCTTGGGCTTCATTCCTACATCTAGAACGACTGTATGAACCTGAATTCCACTTGTGGGTGTTTATCTGAAGAAAACTAAAACATCTCTAGAAGACATGTGCAACCCCAGGTCCACGACAACGCTATTACACAATAGCCAACATGTGGAAATCTCCTAAGTAACGGTTGATGGGTCAATGGCTAAAGATCAGGTCATACATAATATATAATGTTAAATCAATGTACAAATGAGCCTTTGAGAGAAATGGAATCTTGTCATTTGACACGACATGAATAAAACTTAGGGACGTTATGCCACCTAAATTAGCCAAACAGCAAGACAGATACCATGATCTCACTTACATGTGTAATCTGATCAACAAAAAAAAACCCCTGATAAACAAAAGATACAGAGAAAAAATTGGTGGTTGCCAGAAGAAAACCCACCTAGGGTGTGACAGAAATGGGACAAGTTCAAAAGTACAAATTTGCAGTTATAAATCAGGCCCTGGTCAGGTAGCTCAGTCAGTTAGAACATGTCTTGATGAGGCAAGGGTGCGGGTTCAACCTTTTGTCAGGGCACATACAAGAAGCAGCCAATGAATGTGTAAATAAGTAGAACAATACCATCCACATCTGTGTGTGTGTGTGTCTCCTTCTTTTTCTCTCTGTCTCTCCCAACCCCTTCCTCTCTTTATATATATATGCATTTCTCCAAAGAAGCCATCACTAATTTTTTTAGAATGTTATAGAAGACAATATCTTTGAAAAGGCAGGCTCATTACACTGGGCACCATCATATGCAATTCCACTCAATGGACAAGACAATAAAATATTTCTGAGCAAACCAGTGCAGGAACATGCACATTTGTAAATATTTCCATACGTAATCGTACGTGCCCATGAAACTAAACCTGACTTCACACTTATATCTGAAACTCTGACCTTTCACTGCCGGGAGCATCACGCCTCCTCCCCTTGGTGATAAGTGGCAATTTCCATTCCTGGAGTGAGGAGTCTGACTCCCACCGGTGCCCACCCACTCATGTGATTATGTAGGGACAGTGCACAGCACAGACACACCTGCACTGTTACCTGGACCCCCTGGGAATCCACTTTATCACCTGCAGCACAGTTTCATGTGCATTTCCTTTGCTGTTAGTGTGACAGGCGCCCTCACTGTCACATGTACTTCGGTCAGTAACTTCCTTCCCCTTCTCCCCAGGGCAGTGGCTCCTGCCTTCACAGTGCAAACTGATGGGCTCCTGTCACTTCCGCATCCCACCACGGGACCCTCAGCCTCCTAAACTGCATGTCATGTGCACACATTAAGGTCTGTCATTGTGCTTCTCAGTTTTCAAAGCACTGGACAGGGTCATAGTGCCATTTAGGTGCCATTACATTGTTATATAGAATAAGTTTATTTCTCCTCCTATTTTTTCACATAGTTAAATTTACAACAGATGTTCAGACTCTCCTCAGAGTTTTGCCTTTTCCAAAATGTGACATCATTACCTTCATATGTTGAATCACATCATTTTTTAAAAAGAGGCCACTTGTTGGAAGACGTCACTGCTGCTCCCAGCTTAGGGTGGCTCCAGAGAGAGAACACACACCCACTCACAGCCTGTTGGTTGATGTCAGGTTGGGGAGACTGTTACTAAAGCAGCTGTAAACATTCACATGCAAGACTTTCTGTGGACAGAAGACTTGAATTCATTTTTATCATTCATTTTATATATTTTATTTTTATGGAGGTATAAGTGACATACAATGCTATTTTAGTTTTAAGAATACAGCATTATTGTTCTATATGGATATATTGCAAAAAATGAACCATGAGATTGTGTGTAGTTGACATCTGTCACTACATAGATACAATTTGTAACATTTATTGTGCTGAGAATGTTTGGGATCTGCTTGTTCAGCTGCGTTCACACTCACACGATCACAGCATCTCCACCCTAATCCCCGTGCTGTCCGTGACGTCCCCAGGAGCATTTAATTCAAAACTGGAACTTTGTGCCCTTGGACTCCCTTTACCCACATGGACCAACCCCTTCCTCCCCCATGTCTGGACACCACCAAATTGTTCTAAATTATACTTTTTAAAGACTGTATTTTGTACTAAAAGTCGGAAGAGAAAACAAAGCAGTTCACCACTGACACAGTGAAGAACATTATAATACGAGACCCCAGGAAACACTGACTCATCCTTCACGTACAGCACACGTGGTTCTGAGGCCCCATGGTAGGTTCAGGAGCCCAACACAATGTTACATTTGTGTTACCCATTACACAGAACAATGAATACAAACCAGTCTGAAACTCAACTGTCCCCAGCTGGGGGGACTTGGTCTTTCAGTTATTTTTGGACCCTTAGTCTAGGAAAGTGGTGCCGTGAGTGACATTAAAGACAGAAGAGAGAGGAGAACCCTTTTGTCCCAGACAGTGTCCCTGGGTGAACCTGGGTCAGTACAGCAGCCAGAGAATGAGCAGAGGTCACAGGGCACAGGCCGAGCCTGAGCAGCAGCTGCTGCAGTGTTCACCCAGCTCACAGATGCCACAGGGGTTCTTGTCTCACTTCCCCATAACCCTGCAGCACTGTGTGAGCATCAAGATCATCATCATAGGTCTGGCAGTAATAATCGGCTTCATCCTCAGCCTGGAGCCCAGTGATGGTCAAGGTGGCTGAGCTGCCAGACTTGGAGCCAGAAAATCGTTCAGGAACTCCAGACTCACGATCGCTATCATAATATATGAAAAGTTTGGGGGCCTTTCCTGGGACCTGTTGGTACCACTGCACATAATTACCCCCAATGTTGGAGCTGCTTCCAGTGCAGGAGATGGTGACCTTCTGTCCTGGGTTCCCAGACACTGAGGGAGGCTGAGTCAGCACAGACTGGGCCCAGGACCCTGCAAGAGGGAGACACACAGATGGTGATTATGGGTCTAGAGACAAAGAAGAAAGTACAGCATGAGTTTCCCCACAGGGCCCATCCCCTGTCCCCATATTAGGTCACCTGTGCAGTGAGCGAGGAGGGTGAGCAGGAGAGGGGACCAAGCCATGGTGGAGACCATCCCTGAATCCTGCCTTCTGTGGCCCCACAGCTGAAGCAGAGCTTCCCCCACACCTCTCCCTTCCCCTCTTCATACTCTGAGAGAGGGAGGGCCCACTCATGCAAATGAGACACCCCCATCCCCAGCTGTATGATTCCCCTCTGGGCCTAAACCAGGTGCGTCTGCCTGAGGAGGCCATGGGTGTTTGCAGTGTGGACTTGTGTGAGGCCCATGGGTGGGGGAAGTCACAGCTGTTAGTCCAGGACAGAGGACACTAGGCAGTGCCAGGAGGTTGGTAACAGCTCAAATAACCCCTGGTCCCTCAAAACAACAGCCAAGCGCCCTCTAGTGTCCAGGGTCAGGCACAGCATTATGTGACCTGGTGCCCAGAACCCATCAGAGACAATCTCTACATCCCAGGGCTCTCTGTCCACTGAACCCTGCCTTGGGTCCAGGCCAGCGGTCCCATCTAGTGGCCTCCCCGTCACCTCAGGGCATTTTGTGCTCTACTCAGTGTTCTCTGGTTGTGTCTGTCCTCAGCTCCTTTGTGACTGACTGTTCAGTGGTCAGGACTGAGGTCGCGTCTCTCACACAAACTCTTAGGCCACTATCAAGTCCAGAGCAGTGACCAGCCCCAGTTGTATTTGTCATGTGACAAAGACTGGACCATTTCTGTGATGGGGAGTGGTCAGTGTGACTTAGGACCTCGTCCCAAACTGAAACAGTCCTTCCCAAACCCCTGGGGTTTGTGGGCAGAAGTGGACTCGACAGCCACGTGTGCAACCTCCTGATACTCACAAGCACTTTCCACCTGAGCCTTGGCCTGTGGGGCCGTGACGAGGCTGGGTGTCATCAGAACAGTCCAGTGTGAGGATGGGACTGGACCAAAGGCCAGGGATCACAGAAGAGCCTCTGAACTTTGGATCATGAGGGACAACTGACTGCAGGGAAGGCTCCCGAGTCTAGTGTTGAGCACAGGGGTGAGGTGGGTCTATGGGCCTGGCTGGGGTTCCGATGGAAGACTTGCATCTCATTCTTATCCAAAGTGCCCTTGATTAGCGTGGGATCCCTGCAAATCTCAACAACCATCGTCACCCTGGTTCCTTCCTGTTCCATCCTCCTACAGGAGGAGCCCAGAGGGGTCAGGAGAATGAGCGACCAGGCCTGGAGACAAGGGAACAGTTAGGGACCCTGAAGGTTCAGGACACCAATGTGACCCTTTGGAGCTTCTTTGTGGGAGCCTTTGAGGCCTGGACACAGTGCAGCCTGACTCAGCGGCTCCATCCAGGGCACACGGAGCTGACGTTCCAACCAGGGGGGGCCCGTCAGCTGGGGCTGTGCAGTCCACCCACAAGACCCCGGAAGGGACCACGTGGCACATCTGAGAAGATGAAGAGCTGGCCCTGAGAAGGTGCAGTGACCCTGCCTGCTGTCAGTCAGTGGAGTTTTCGACACACCGATCCCAGTAACAGTGAGAAACTTGTATTGGCCCCTCTGCTGACACCCACCCAAGCTCCCTCTCCAGGGGAAGAGTTTAAATCAGTAATAACATGAACAGGAAAAGTGCTCCTATAACCTTCCTGCTCAGTGCTGACAGTTTACTGGGTTTGTGTGTGAGAAGGTATTTCACAACATGTTCAAATTTTCTTTCTTACTGATTGCTGAATATTGTATTTATTTTTCCACCGATGCTGTATAAGTTTTTTTATGTATTGGAACCAGAATAACACATGTTATGAATTACTTTTTTTTAATATTTTATTTATTTATTCATATTTTTAGAGAGGAAGGGAAGAAGAGAGGAAGAGAAACATTAATGTATGGTTGCCTTTCATGCGTCCCCTGCTGGGAACTGGCCTGCAACCCAGGCATGTGCCCGACTGGGAATTGAACCGCGATTGTCTGGTTCGCAGGCCTGTGCTCAATCCACTGAGCTACACCAGGGTTTTAGACTGGAAATTTTAAAAATATTGTTAAATAAACTATCAATTCAGTCTCTAGACTCCTATCTACAGATGGTAGTTTCCACCACTTTAAACTTAAATTGACTCCTCACCTCCAAATATTTTCATTTTTCCTGCTTCTGTTACTCATTTGGGACCACATCCATGGTCACACCTGTCACGGCAGCTGTGTCATCAGCCAGGGTGAGGGCCCTCTATTCAAGGGCGACAGAGCTGCCCTGTGAGCTCCAGGACCCACCCCCGGATGGAAGGGGCGCGGCCTCAGCAGGACAGGGAGGGGCTCTCCACTCCCCACGTCCGCACGTCCTTCTACAGAGACAGCAGGGTAATGCAGGTGGCAGCCACTTACACATTTACGGTAAATGTCATGTGTGTTTTTCTACTACTTAAGGCTGCTGCAATTTTAAAATAAATAGCCAAAAAAAATTCCCTTTCAAAGAAACATACTCCTTTCACCTCATTATTGATCCCCACTTGTGTGTCTCTCTGGTTTACAACAAAGCTTCACAGTCACTCACTTCTCATGTTCGATTCCCAACACCTTCTCCGGAGCCTTTTTCTTCCACTTGCAGAAGTGGGAGGGATGCTTCTGTGTCCCAGAGGCAGACAGGCCTCATGCAGGGCCTCCTGTGGCGACGTCATGAAGGCAACGGGCTTTTTTGGCCGCACGAGTGCTCACAGATCTCCTCTGCTCTGTGTGACGAGCCACACACTGACATGCCAGCTCAGCTGGAGGACGAAGGGCACACAGCACTGAGGATGAGGGTCCACAGGCACCAAGGCCCTGCCCTCCCCCCAGCTGAGCTTATTCCTGACACTCACAGCAGCCACCCCTGCCCTCCAGGGCCTGCAGGGACCCCTGTCCTCACAAGGAGCCCAGAGTCTGATGGCAGGTGCTGATGGGGAGCAGTGTGTGCAGAGCAGAGGGTCAGGCCCAGGACGCCAGGGGGAAGGGGACGGCTCGTGGCCTCAGGAGGACAGAAAGAGCCCCCACACGGGGGCTGGTGCTGATGGGGAAAGGCCCTCAATCTGTGGGCTCCTGACAGAGACGATATGAGACTGTGGGATCCCTTGTGTCAGATTCTGACAGGTTCCTCCCTCCTGAGCTGAGGACATTGACAACAGCCTCCCACCGACCCCTCCACTGCTTGTGCAGAAGGAACCTGGGTCCCCGGATAAAGTATCTGCCTGGAGAGTAAACAGATGGGAATGTGAAATCAGAAAGGATCCGGTTCTTCTCAAAACCAGAGATGCTTGGAGAGTCTTCAGATCCTCAGAGGGTGGTCAGAGATGGGACAACCGAGTCACCTCTGATGGGAAGCTAGAGGAAGGGACGTGACCACAGATGGTGGGACCACAGAGGGAGGGGGAGAGTCGCATCTTCAGTCCTCACGGCTGGAACACACTGATGAGAACATTTCTATCAGCTCCTATATATCAGTCTCTTCCTGGGACTGGATGTAAAACACGAGTGGGAAGCATTCCTAGCAAAACCTGAAGCCAGAGTTTCCATCACAAAATTCTCTGAGACAGATGTCCCAGGTCGCCCAACCCAGGGCGCCCACCCCAGGGCTGCTGCTGTCCCCGAGCCACACTGTGGCTCCACGTCTGTGATGCTGCTTTGACAATAGGTGACCTTGTTCCTGAGACCCAGCCCCAAATGGTGGGTGCATGAGCCAGCACAGCCTGCAGGCAGGAACCTGGAAGACATCAATAAAGACGGACTGACGTGTGGGGTCCCTGCTTCTTTGTCCCCAGCTTAACTCCCTTGAGACCCAACATTCCCAGAGGTCGTGGTGGTTTCAATGGGCTCAGAGTGTTGATGAGATTTCAGGAATGTTTATGTGTCAAAATCACCTTGTTCTATCCCTGCTGCTGCCTCTGCCAGGACAGTAGCTCTTGACTGTCTGTCCTGGGTCCCAGCCCCTGAAGGAGGCTGGATGAGCAGGGAGAGATGCAGGCACCTGTGTGCACAGGGCAGGGACCACCCTGCAGGGAGGGGGCAGAGCTGGGGCTGGAAGACCGAGGGAGCATGAGCATCAGGGAGCTTCACCTGCATCAGGTGTGATCAGTGAGGAGAAGGGGAATCCAGGACGTGGGGGAGACGACCTGAGCCCGGATCTGGGCCCTGGAACTAGCCTCACACCCACCGCCCCCTCTGCAGCACAGGTACTGGAAGACCTTGCAGTTAACTCACTGCACGTCCTTCCACTTGGGAGAAAATGTTGTCTTGGGAACACTGAGAATTTTGAACCACAAACCAAAATATTTACTTAAGTTTAAATTTTTGGCCATGTTCTCTCATTTTCACTGTATCAGACTATTCTTTCTTTCAGATTCACCCTGAAGTATTTCACATGTACGCTGTTATGAATAAGTACTGACACGGAACAAGTGGGTTCTGGCGCCTGCTCCAAGGAAAGCCAAATGGGTGGGACAGGAGCTGGTGCAAAAGACCGAGGTTTCTTCAGGTTCCATGGGGCCTGGAAGACGGGTGGACTCCGCACTCAAAGCCCATCTCCCCTTCCTGCTCAAGCCCACAGTTCTTACAGGTGTAGGAAGGGGAGGGCTCTTCTATTCTGTCCTATTGTCTTGCTGGTATTCGGTAGGTTGGGTGATGTCCATTCATTTTACCAACTATTGGTGGCTCAGTGTCAGTGTCTCCCTTACCACCACCTTTGCCAAATAGACTCCTGAGCTCCCTGACTCTGTGGAATCTGGGTCAGTGGGGAGCAGGTGTGGGCTGCAGGACACGCTGTCAGACGCTGTCAGGGACCCTGGAGACCCGCAGTCTTCACCCCACACCCTGATGCTGGACAAGGTGCCCAGGCATCCTGGGGAGCCCCTTGGAGTCACGTGAGCATCCCTGGGTCCCAGCCTGCCCTCCTGTGCTCTGTGAAGCATCCACATGGCCCATGACACTCAGTGGCCACCTGGAACCACGCTTCGACTGGCAGCAGCCTACGGTAGCAGTGCTGCTGTTATTTTTATGTTCTCATAGCTCACTGCTGGTACATACTACAGGGTAAGATTTATGCCGACATGTGATTTGGCATCACCCAATTCAGACTTGAGCACTCAGAGTAGAATCCCATCTC